AAACATTTAACGGTGGCCACTGGCAATTCTGTTGTTTTAGAACTATAGACTCCTAGAGCAAAATTCTGCCTCCAAATTACATGCATGCTGCTCTTACTTACTACAGCCAAGATTGTGCACATGTTTCAAAGGTCAGAATTTGGCCGTTGGGGCTGAATTTTCAGGAAAGAGTACATTAAAGACATCTGTGCATCAACATACCCAATATTCTTTGTCTGCTAGAGAACATTTCAGGAATAATCCTAGTACAGTGCAAGTGAAACATTTTCTGTTTTCTGGATTGCATTGGGATTGCTTAGAAGAGACATATCTTGCAGAAGTAGGTTCATGATTTCATTTATTCCTTGTAAGTCAACACTTGGATACGGAAAAGTTGTCAGAGTAAAAACTGGAAGTGACCACCCTTCCTTGGGTAGTCTAAATCAGAGAGGTCAACAGCAGAGTTTTACACAAAGGTAGAAAACTAAGCCACTTGCCATTGTGGACAGAGCTCATATTTGGAATTATGTTACTAATCAGACACTTAAAAGAAATAAACTTGGCATTCATATTCTATGGGAGGTAGTGTGTATTAAATTGCTGAAGATCTTTAAGCATGTAGGTTTTCCCCTGTTTTTTAAACATTATACCCTTCTTAAAATGTTTATAATGTCTAATTGCTGCTGGATTTCAAGACATATCAATTTTGTTCTTAGTTCCTGCGGATTTTGACAGAATATCATACCAAAATATTTTGTATTTTTTGTAGGACTGGGAAACAGAAAATCATGACTGGTATTGTTTTGAATGCCATTTGCCTGGAGAGGTGTTGATATGTGACCTGTGTTTTCGTGTGTATCATTCCAAGTGTTTGTCTGATGAGTTCAGGCTTAGAGACAGCAGTAGTCACTGGCAGTGCCCAGTTTGCAGGGTGAGTACCTACGAGCTTTCACGTGCTGATTAGAAGATTGATATTCGTTAATAGTTTCATTAAGGTGTCCAGATGGTCTGGCCAGGTTATTGGGTAAAGAACTGATGATTGTAACGATGGTACATGCCCAGAGCATCTGCACAAAGATACCAGAATAATGTGCATGTAGTGGACAGCCTTTTTTTAAGACTCCAGCAAGTTTTACTTTTGCATTTGAAAGCACACAGTATACTGTGTGGGCATATGTGTGTATGTATGTATGCAATGTGTGAATGCAGTATATTGTAGAAATCTTCAACATGAGTAAACAAATTGTTGTGCAGGATGCTACTGTTTTTTTTATCTCAACATCATTTTAAATGTAGTTAACTTTTTTGAATCGTGATGTATCTTTCTGTATTTTGATGACTGCATTCTTAATATTTTTTGAGTCATGTCATACATTATAAAACCACGGTCATGTTACTGTCTAGGGCAGTATCTAAAAATAAGGGTGAAATCCTGCCTCTCATTTACTTCTGTGAATGTTTTTATTGGCATCAAATAGGCCAATATGGACTTCACCTCTAGTTTTTATATTGCTTTTCCTTCAAAATTGCTATTCTTGTGAGTATGATAGATAGACAGCAAAGAGTATCTTTTATATAGGCTACAGGAATGAGCAGGTATGCTACCTACATGTCAGTAGAAGACTAAACATCCAAGCTAGGATAGTGCTCCCAACCACCTGGCCTTAATCGAGAAGATTCATTTCCTTACTGCTACCTGTGTGCAACCTCCCACGAGGGAGCACACTCCTAGTGCTCTCTAAGTGGAGGGAATGGTTTGAGGTAAAATAATACTGGTGTAGACAGGCAAGAAAACTCTGCCAGTTGCACTGCAGCCTCGGCTTGCTGAAGGGAGAGGAGATTCCTGTGCTAAAAGCTTAGCTCTGGATGTGGAGCAGACTGACCTTGAGATGATCTGTGCTGCAAGGAATGTAAGGGTGCAGACACTACTGAGATACAGTTTTGGAAAACACATGGCTTGTTTGCTTTAAAACAGCACTTTCTGATAGCTCTCACCTCAGAGCAGTTGGGAAAAGCTGGCACCTTCTCCTGCAAATCGGGAGTGCTCCAGGTTTAGGAAAAGGGCGAGAACGTAGAGCCTGCCCAGAGGAAGCTAAGAAGAGTGAGAAAGACATGATGGCAGGGAAAGACAGCCAGGAATGAGAAGAGGGAGCATATCCCCGTGTATCGAGTTGCTGGCCATTTAATCCCGTGCTCAGCGTTCCCTTTGTTTAGAACAAAGCGTGACATTGTTGAACAGCTTTTAGATTTTTAGATAGGTCTTTTTAATCGTTGATTCTCATAATGACTATGGATTGTTCTAATAGTTAAAATAAACTGGATGCAGCCTCCACTCTTGTCTGGAAAGGATTTTAAGTAAACCTGGGGAGAGGAGGGACGTCAATATGATGTGAGGTGCACGTGATGCTCTAGTTGTTGTCCCGCGGAGGAGCTCGGTCGCTGCGTGCAGTGCACGCACGTGTGCAGGGCAGTCAGCTTTGAGATCAGCTTGGCTTTCATCCTGGGGCCTTGCAATCCTTTTCGACGATGATATTAAATATTTTTCAATCATTGAAGAAAAAATCATGAAACACAGACTTGATCCATGTGCAATATCCACTTTTGCATATTGGTCACCTTTTTGTCATTAATTTGTTATTTTAGAAAAGTCTTAAAAGGAGCTTTTTGACCCAGAGATCTTTGGCTTGCCCAGTGCCTTAGAAGATGCTCGGAAAAATATGGCATCCTCCGAGTTTTGCCATTTTGAATTTTGAATGCATCCCTTTCAGCCCTGTGCTGGCATCTCCTCTTTTGCTTGTAATTAAACGCATTTCAAGCCCAGATACTCCAAACTTGGAGCAGAGTGGCTTAACCAGTTAGTTTGTGGAAGCCAGGGGGAGGTGTAGCTAGGCATGGAATTGCCATCCTTGGTTGAGGTTTCAGTGTGAGTCTGCTGCTTCCTCCCCCCTCCACAAACTGACCGGCCTAATTTGATTTTAAAAGCACAGGTGGAGAAACTTGTACTCAAAAAAATATGGTGGTTTAGGGAGTCCTTGCTGATGTCTGGAGCACATAACAAAGCTTGACCATCTTGCCTAAGGGCAATGGGGTTTACTTTGCCTTATCAGCAGTAAATATGTATGTTGTAGCAAAGTAGTGGCTGGGACAAAGAGCCGCGTTATCTTTCCATGCTCTTATAACTGGGCATAGCACTTTTCACCAAGGGGTCTCACAGCTCTTTACAAAGGTGAATCAAAAGTATGTTTGAAATCTAAAATGCGGGGTGAAATATTTGAAGAACATTCACTCTCAGGTACAGATCACTTCTGGAACACTGCCAAGGTCAGGAAGCCTTTGGATTATTCGTTTCACAATTGCTGGTTGTCCCGGTTCAATCAGCCCGTGCAGCTTTATCTTGCACACTTGACTACTCGGAAACATTTCACAGAGGACATTGGCAAGGATTTTTCATAACTTTAAAATATCTTTCCTCCCATAACATTTGTGGAAACCTTGATCTGAACTCTGTTTCCCTGCTGGCAGCTTGTTTCCACTGCAACCATAAGCACAAATGTCCACCTCCTGGTTTGCCCTCTAAATAAATAAATAAGCGGCAAATAAATAAATAAGTAACTTTGTGGTTCGCCCCCTAAATAAATAAATAAATAATCAGTAAATAAATAAATAAATAAATTTGTGGTACCAATCTGAATACTTTGCATCCTGCGTAGCTCTCATGGGAGACTGAGTCAAACAAAGTTCACTTCCAACCATGTTGCAGTATTTGTCACTGACTGCTGACTAATCATAAGCCCAAGTGAAATAAATTGGTGTTATCAGCCAAATTCCTGGTAGACAGGTCACAAGAGAAACACTCAGCATCAAAAGAATTGAATTAGCCTTTTCCCACTACTGCAATGGTCTGTTTAAGACGGAGTTAGTGCACTGGGTCTCTGAGGGTCACAAGGGGCTTGTACATTTGTTGCTACTCTTTGGGTAGATAGCAGGAGGAATTTAATTTCCTCCATCTGTTAATTTAGCACCATAAAAACTACAGGAAGTGCTGCAAAAATACTGATTTTTTTGTTTTGGAAAAACAGATATCAGCAAAGATATATGGATTTTATGGGATAAAGTTGGTCACATTTTGGGGGTGCGACTGCAATTATTTCTTTCTTTTAATTGATTTTTAAAGTAACTTTATAGAAAGGTGAAATTACGTATGGTACCATCTAGATTGTCCCAGAGGGTTAGATTCGATCAGCAATGCAAAAAGAGCCCTTCAGGTGGCCCCACTGTACGTCTGGGTAGATTTTTTTACAGTTTCCTGATCAGACATTGATCTTCCCTGCATGTGCTTTACCAGAAATTGCACCCAAGTTACCTGCCATAAGGGGTGGTTGAATATTTCTGTTTTATGAGAATGCAGTAAGCTGTAGAGACACTAAATGCTGTGCTGATAAGTATCCTATAAATAGGCTATTTCCAAGTTCTGGTACTGAACTAAGCATTTCATAGGATACATAAAAATACATGACCGTGCAGCTCGCAATCAGCATCAGACATGACGTGAAAGGCGAGCGTGACAAACAGAAGAGAGTTCAGAGGTGCAGGAAGATGAAGGTTACTGGAGGGAATTAACTTAAATAATGAATTCAGGGGAGTTTTAGATACTAGCTGTCCATCAAGGTTGCTTTGGCTAATATAAAATACAGGCAGGAAAGAGAATATGGAGACTGATGTTAGCTTATTGTTGGGGTGTCATGGGGGGAATTTGCCCACACCAGTAAGGAAAACTGGGAAGCTTCCATGTAAAACTTCCTGCCACCTTCTGTGCTCATGGGACTCTGTTGTTCACAGGGCGCTTCTGACTCAGAAGGTGCCCCCTGCACCATGCACATAGAAACGAGCTACGGATTCAGCTGTGGCCATTTCGAAAGTCTCTCGGGCCGAAAATCCAGCCTGGTTTGGCTGTGTGTGTGGTTGAAAGCGACGTGTCCATCATTAGGCAACGGCACCTTCATCGGCCTCCCGGCCGCGGTGCAGGCTGAAATGGAGCTCCTTGGTGCCTGCACACACGTGGCAAACGGGAGGGAAAGGAGAAAGAAGTATTGGTTGATAGGGCACTACAGGGAAACTGTTTGCATGGAGCAAATGTAACTGCAGTGCTTTGAGTCAGCCAGCTTGCCGACTCAGCTAGCACCTTGCATTTCTTAGACCTGCACTGTGCAGCTGAGCACTTTCCAGAGGTATCTCTAGCTGCTGCTTTCTTTGGATAGTTCATAAAGTCTTGTAAAGATTTCTGGCATTATGGACACATCAGAATTGCTAAGTAAGTCACACCTGCGCTGTGCAGTATATTGCAACCCTCTTTAACAGCTAAGCAGTATTAACCTGGAAAATCTAATGCAAACAGCAGTCCAAATCCAACCTGGGGGTGCCAACTTCCAAGAACTAGATGTGCTGCAGAGAATAAGGCAAATATAAAGTATTGCCTGCACCTGCAAGCAAATTAGGTTGGAGTCTTGGCCTTGCTCCTACATGCACTGTATTCACCGAGCCGATGCTTCCCGTGCCTCCAGTTTACCATGATTCAGAGCAGATGGGTTGCAGATTTCTCTAAGAACTGGTGCGACTTAGGAATCATCCTGTATTGAGCTGCAGTATCCTACAAGTAGGACACCTGCAAGTGTAAGTTCCTGACGACTGTGGGACCTGGATCAAAGCTTAGTAGTCTGTTTCTAAGAAACTTGATATGTGAACAGGGGTCGTAGTATCGTATCTTAGTAGATCTTTCCACTTTTATATATTCACAGTTTAGCATCATTATTTTCCTTTCCCAAAAAGAGGAAATTAAAAGGCCTAATTTTCATTTACACTTTCTTCTTCGTTGGTCTGACTGTGAAGGGACCTTAAAGCAGATATATTTTCTTCTGTCAGTGTTATAATTAGATTTTATGAAAATCATAACCTATATTGAATATTATCCTTTTTTTTTGCTTTATGTGGCATTTAATTTGGTTTCTCTGAGAACACTATAAAACTTTAAAATATTTAGTAGTTTTTTTAAAAAAACAAAAAGTACACCTTTTCCCTCCTAGCTTCCGAACAATACTTCAGTTGGGGCTAATCTTTCTTGAAAAGTGCATGAAATGGCTTGATTACAAGCTGGCTTCTAAAACGAGAGAGAAGCCTTGCCATAAAAAGGCATTTTTCTTGCTTTGATTTACTAAATTCACTACCTGTCAACATTTAGTAGAGGAACCTGGAGATCATTTTTTTTTATAAAATAAGTCCATTTAGGGAACTGGAGGAGAAGTGAGAAGTTGGAGTTTGCCTGAAGTTAATTATATCATTTCCATAGGTGCTTAGATTATATTAATCTGTGACACAGGTAATGATGCAAAGCAGCTCTCTAGCTTTTATTAGAACCTGAGGACAAGACTGTAAACGGTCTGTCCTAACACAGCCTCTTAGAAACTGTCCTGCTCACTGAGGCACAATGAGAAAGGTTCCCGTGAGCTCCGTGATCCCTCCAGCAGGTGACAAATTCAGACCCATGTTAGAATAAGAGGTGCAGAAGGACTGCTCTCTGCAAGTGGATTTTATTGTGTCCTAAAGAGTCTGAGCCCATTAAAGTGCTGTGTTAAAGGCAGCATACATCATTCATTGCCTGCAGTGTCAAAATGAGAGCAGCAAGTTCATAAAGCAGTGAGTTTAGTGTACGTTTGGGTTTCTGTGCAACAGCAATGTCTGCTTATGCAAAACTGAGTATGGGAAATGAAGCAGGATTCACATTCTTATGGCAGATGAGGTAGAATGTGCATAGACAGAAGGTGATTCACAAATAGAGCATAGAAACCTTTCAAGAGTAAAATTCTTATTTTTGCATTTGGTAGGAAGATCTGGGAACCATTAACGAAGCGAAAATCATGTTTAAATGGGATGTTATTCTCAGAAAGGCCTGGAGCTGGCCCTTTCTGCAGTCCTCATTGTGGCTGGCGGTGGCAGTGCCCTGCCAGACGAACAGGGTTGCAAGGACAGGAGCGTCTGCAGGGATCTGCGATCCTTGGGCGGAGGCAATTGCAACTGTGGTGTCTACCAGGTGCAGACAAATATTTCAGCACAGTTTTGCTGTCCACGCTGTTAAGCAGTGAAGTAAATACCTCCATCTGTAGTGCTGTGAGCAACTTTGGTTTCCTTTAAGTTGGAGGTAGTAAGTACAGTCCTGAGATGGATAGGCTACACAGCTGCCATAGCACAAGGGCCAACATGGGATTGCCAGTGGCTTCAACATCTTCCAGCAGGAAAATAAGCCAAGAAACACTGACAAATTGTATGATTTTTTTTTTTTTTTGGTGGTGGTGGTGGTCTTATTGTGTAATAGAGACTCTGATACATAAATATGTAGAAATAATTGCTCTGTACATAAGATACCTGCTCCCTCTCTATAGGTCTCAACATATCTGCTCCCTCCACATATATGACATTGTCAGAGTCATATATGAATACCCTAGTAAAAATAAAGCACTTTTAGCAAGGAATAGTTTCTAAGTCTCATACGTCTCTTAGCTCCCTACTAGGAATGGGTGATTCGGCTGCTTCTTGTGCACATTGATAGAGCTTGCTAAGCAGCAACTCTCTGCACAGCTATGGGGAGCTTGCTGAAAGCTGCCAGAATTGGAAGGGGCAGGTGATAATGCGTAGGATAAGTCTCCTACTAGTCCAAGACGAGGATTAAAAATTTGAGACCGCGAACTGCTGAAAAGGGAGCACGTTTTCCAAGATCTAGGTTAGGTTTTGTGAGGGAAAAACCAGCAGCCACTGTATTTCCTAAGCAGTAAATGTGCTCCAAATTATTACTAGCTAGAGCAGTGCTGTATCTGAGTTCATCCTAGATGGTGTCTGTTTGTCTAGTAAGCACATAAATCACATGAGTGCATGGCCAAGAGTTTTTTTTTAAATCATTTTATATTTTGAAGAAGATATTGATGTCTTGCTAATAAGTAGACCATTAAATACATTGTAAAATGTTCCCTAATATGCCTTTCTTCATTACTTTATTCTAATAAGACACTTTTTTACATGGGAAGTTTTGAAAAAGCATTATTGACCTACATGCAAATTAAAAGCAAGCCTAATCATCTGATATAATGTGATGCAAAGTTCCTTTTTTCAAAAAATATTGTGATACAGAGAAAAATGTTGGTGAATGAGTTTTGAAGTCAGATTTAAAATAATAAAAATAACACGAAACTCTTTTTCTTTAACAGAGTATCAAGAAGAAAAACACAAGTAAACAGGAGATGAGCACATACCTGCGGTTCATAGTCTCTCGCATGAAGGAGCGGGTGAGTCGGGAGCGGGAAGGTCTGTCGAGGCGTTGGGTCGCGTGGGGCTGTGCAGGGAAGAGGGCAGGACAAGGTCTTGTTTTATCTCCCCTGTCACCAGTGGCTTGGGTATTTCAGCACACACTCATTGTGCCTCGTTGTTCAGGTCAGTCATCATTCTGACAGGAGTAGTTTATCCCATGGGCCCGTGGCTCCTTTGAAATGGGCGTTTTTCAGCTTTGAGGCATGTGAAGTTGGTGTCTGTGGGTGTTTATCTGGCATGTTGTTGCAGGTGTCGAAGCCAAAATCTGGAATACTCCAAACCATCACCTTCTTTAATATTTCTTTTGCATTTTAAGCAGAATACAATAACTTGCACTGTCTCATGGTCCTTTCAGGCTATAGACCTGAACAAGAAAGGCAAAGACAACAAGCACCCGATGTACAGGAGGCTGGTGCACTCAGCTGTTGATGTTCCTACCATTCAGGAGGTAGAGTGACTTGCTTTCTAGCTTTCACACTGCTTATGATGTGTTTTAACAGTGAAGGTAAACCTTAAGGGCTAAATCACTAATCCAGTTTAATTCTCTTTCTATTCAATATTTCAGCATTGTTTCCAGTATTGAATATGGGAGTTAAAATTTCAACCTTTTATCTGTAAATAGGTAACCAAATAAAAACATTTTCAGTGTTGTCTAGTATTCAGACAGGAAGTACCCTTAATTCCTTTTCTCTAAGAGAAAGAAGAAAAGCCTTTTCTCTAAGGCTTTTACTAAGGTCTCTGACTAGTTGAAATTTTTAGGGAAAGTAGCCAAATGGGTTTGACCGTATTTCAATTTTAGTCATTAGGGCATTATGTTGATGGCAACTTTATAAACATCTGAATAAAGAGTCAATCATTTCATTGCTGGTAAGAAAGCAAAACTCACTTAAAACATCTGTTTTGTGTTAACCATTCCAAAAATAAAGTCCTAGTAAATATTTTGTCCGTTTTTTGTGGAGTGAAGGTCTGACCATGGCTCATAAGTCAACTATAGATGACAAAAGTGAATAGCATATTCTTTTTCATGACTGTAACTGGGTTGCTATGACATGTCATAATATATAGCCCTTTACCAACATAGTTATTGACCCCTTTTTAATTATTATGTTATTGAAACACATGGATAAACAATAGCTATATTAACAAATTTGGAGACCACCAATATTTGTTACTGTCCTGAAGTAGTGGCAACACTGGTCGTATCTAAAAATGCATCAGACCTTCTTGTCACAGTCACCTTCACCTACTCCCACAAAAAGCCTTTTTGGCCTTGATAGCATGCCAGAAACTGATGATATTTTGTTTGCTGTACAATTCTCATAGGTCCTCTTAACAGAGCACAACTGAAAATGCCGTATTCCTTATCAGAGAAAAGGCTGTAAAAAGAAAATGCACTTCATGGCTCCCTGCGAGCTTTGTTTGCCTTCATCAGAAAACAGTGACTCTCCAGTGAAAATCCTGAAAGTAAAAAGGCAGTCAGCACTGATTTGAAACTAGCATGTGTTTTGAAGGTTCAAAGTCTCCACCTCAGGGCATATATCTTTATTTGTTCTGGGCAACATTATATTTCATTTATAGAGGAAAGTGAACGCAACTACTCCAGATTTACCCTGTTATAACCAAGAGATTTTTTTCAACCTAATCAAACACTAAAGCGCCTGTTTTACCTCTGGGCTTTGCGTAAGTAGATGAGCACAGCCCGTGTTGAGGTAGACAGACATTGTTAGAGTTGTAAGTATTCCTTCAGGATGCAGGGAAGGCACTGACCAATCTGCCTGGCATAACACAGATTTCTGCGAGAGCTTCTCTGCATAAAGCAGATGCAGCACTTTAGCAACATTTTCACAGTCCTCTGTTTTCTTTTGTGTAGAAAGTCAACGAAGGAAAGTACAGGAGTTACGAGGAGTTCAAAGCAGATGCTCAGCTGCTTCTACACAACACCGTGATTTTCTATGGAGGTAGAGTACCACATTTCCTTCCCCCATTTGATTTATCTTTGCCTGTAGAAAATCACAAGATCAGGATTAAATTTAGTGTTTGGTAATCTTAAAGGTAGATAAGGTCAGGAGGGATCCCTAAAAAATCTAAGAAGGGGCCGCAAGAGGGCTTTGCCTGCCGCAGGGTGAGTTCTTGTCCACCTACTATAAAACTATCTCCATCCTCTCTTGCTAAACTTTCAGTAGGAATTTGCACCCTTACCATCCTATTTCCTCTGCAGCCTATGTCATAAGTCAGTCCAGAAAGCAGATTTCTCCCAGGATGCGTATGTTTTTTCAAGGTGGAAAGAGGTGGAAAGAGGTCTGCTCTCTAATTTTCGGTGCCAGCAGGATAGACACACACACTTCTTTTCCCTTGTGGGCAATTATTTCCCAGATAGCAGCAACAAATATAGCTCATCCAGAGCAGGAGTGTCCTACTGGTGCAGTGTGGAGTTATGGCCATCAGAAAAAAAAATAATGCTGATACCTACGTTATAAAATTGGCTAGATGCTGCCATTGAAGAGACCCACTGCTACACAAGGGGTTACTTAGAAAAAGTCAAGATAGAATTGCTTCAGAGCAGGTTGCTGGAAAGCAGGGAGTTGCAGGCAGTCAAGCAAGGCTATACCTGTTCTCTGTTTGAATTGCTGAGTTGATGCCTGTTGATTCACAAGGTTTGGGAGCTGAGACATACAGGTCTTGAACACTGAGTGCATTAAAAGGGATTCTGTTTGAGCAGTGAAGTACTACGTGACTGTTTGGTACAGTGGAACAATCTGATCGGAAGTGAAAAACACCACCAAAACATGTAGCCTCCAGAAACTACAAGCAGGTTCAGTAACAAGGTTCTCCTCAGGCATCATTTCGTGTAGAACATGGTTCTGCTACTGGAGATACAGCCCGTGCCTTGAGCAGTGGGAGGAGGGGACATCAGCTCTGTTGGCAACCTCAGGAAACCCACCTTGCAGTTGGGAGGGAGAGGTGTGAACGTGCTAACAGAAATACACGGGAGCAGAGGGAACCGCGAAGCCGCACTACAAGCAAAAAAAATTTATGTGGTTTTACCTGTTTTGCTATGAAGTGATAGCAGAGAGGTGTTTTAGGGCAACTGCAGCATATTATTAGCAGAGAAGGAAATAGCGAATTCATATCAAAAGCAACCCCATGTCCCTGCTGCTGTTTTGCTTATTGTCTTGTTTGGTTTAAATGCTTCCAAAAGGGATTTTGCATGCAAACATGAAAGAGCAAACAAATATAGCATTGGTGTTACAAGTTTTTTAATGGAAGGTTTATTGAAGAAGCAGAGTAATGTTTTGTACTTTCAAGCAAGACAATTACAGCGTGAAAGTCATAGCAATGACAACTGAAAGTTTTTGTGAGCACTCTGATCTGTGGTTGTTTATAGTGTTTATTTTTAATTTATAGCGGACAGTGAACAAGCTGATATAGCGAGGATGCTTTACAAAGACACGTGTCATGAAGTAAGTAGTGCCCACTAACTGAAGTATAGACAAGCTGTTTGATTTTCATCCTAGATCCTAAAAACGTGAATCTTCATGTTATAAAAATAAGGGTGTGAATTTTGTTGCAGACTTTCTCTTGTAACTTAATAATAGCTGAATCAGAACCCCACTTTTTTTGCAAGTATATTTGGAAAATACCTTGTTTAAAATTTTAATTTTGAAATAATCTAGTAATGCCTAGTTGGGCTAGAAATAATTGTACTTACTGATATAAGTTGAACCTGAAGTGAGATATCTACCAACTTCTGTTACTGCTGCTAGAAAATAAAAAGACAGTAAAAAAGAAGTTACGGGCAGCTGTCACGCTGTCACACTTGTTGTGTGCACAATTAAATTTCTTCTTTCAAAGGGTGCTTTAAATATTTAATTAGTTCAAATAGCTGTTCTTTGACTTTTAGTTTTACTAAATCCCTCCCCTCAATTTTCTAAACCGTGAAAAATGTTTCTGCAGTTTATCTGCCATCCATTCTCATAACACATTTCATATCTCTAGTTTGCATGAACAGAAGTAACTCCACAAAATTAGCAAGCAGAGGGCTGAAAAATGTTTTTAGTTATGAGACAGTGATGTTATTGAGGTCAAGCCGATAGGATTTTTGGACTTATTTACCTGTTTTTTGTTTTGCAGCTGGATGAACTGCAGCTCTGCAAGAACTGTTTCTATTTGTCAAATGCACGACCTGACAACTGGTTCTGCTATCCTTGCGTATGTTGCTGACACAGATTTTTGTTTGCTTTTCTGTATAAGTACCTGCAGTTTGGGTTTTATTCCTGCATGGAACATTCCACTTCAGTAGGCTTGTTTTGAATGTGTGGTTAAGACTCTCTAAGCCTAGATATTTTCCACATATGAAACGTTGATTGAAGTTCAAAGCAGTCATAATAAGGGTATTAAAACTTGGTTATCAGGCAGTTATAACAGTCTCACAAGAAAATAAGAAGCTTACAGAAATAGAACTTTACTCCTGGATAAAGCTATAAGGACAAGTTTAATTTTGGGGAGATACTTAGGATCTCTGATTTCAGTGGACAGTTACACCCTTTTCAGACTTTGTCTTTTTTTGACTTTGATCCAAGGAACACATCTAACAAGGAAATATGCATTGTAAGAAGATAAAAATGAAAACAAGCACTTAGATATAAACAGCAACCATATTCGTTAAATATTATTATGCCGTTATCATAAAATATTTATGGGAGAAATAAATATGATACTCCATATCTAATAATAAATATAACATTTTTTTCCAGATACCTAATCATGAGTTGGTTTGGGCCAAAATGAAAGGCTTTGGGTTTTGGCCAGCCAAAGTCATGCAGAAAGAGGACAATCAAGTTGATGTTCGCTTTTTTGGCCATCACCACCAAAGGTAATATATTAGTTCCATGTGCTTTTTACAAACAATACTTCAGTTAAATTTATCTCATCTGTGATGTTGTAAATCCTGAATGAACTAGTTGCCAGCATTAGAAAGACTGAGCACTTAGCCGTAATTGTTCAGAAAATTTGAAGCTTGATCTAACACATCCAAAGGTGCCAAGTGGCTCAGAGATTCCATTCCACAGTTGCCCTAGGGATGTTACCTAATGCTGTTTTAATTAAAGAAAGCAAATGAACTGCCGTCCAGGAGTGTTTCTTCAAATGCGTAGCAGCCTGCTTATCCAGACTGAGGCAAAAACTGGACAGAAATGTGTGCTTCTACTACAAGATGCATTGGCTTTGTGTGATGTTCTCATCTGAGCAGGCATGGTGCAGTTTTGTATTTGAGTAACATAATAGACATCACAAAACATTTCTGCATTATTGCTAGAACATTGTCAGAACTCTTGCTGTGACCCCGTTTGCAATTTCAGAGAGTAACTCTTTACATGAGAAACTGCATCCTTAGAGATCAGGGTTTACTTCCATCTCCAGCACTTGTTTTCTTGTTTGGTTTAACTTTTGGGGAGGATTATAATAGTGTTACTGTAACGTACGTGCATCAGCTCTTTTGTCATTGGATTTATATGTCTGCATGTGATGAGACATTTGCAAAGCAACTCATGGCTGTTAGGAAAGTGGTATATTCTGGTGCCTCCCCAAAAGGTTTGGGAATTCAGTGACAGTGTTTTATGAAGGTGTTTATTTAAATAGCTTTTAACATAATCTGCATATTATATAGCATTTTTTCCTTTGTGATATGATACCAAGTAGATTTTCTAATAAGCACAGAGAGTGTAAAGTGTGTTTATATGTGTTGCAATCATAGAGTGATTTATCTTGCAATAGTAATCTGTTTGCAAATGCAGCTTATTTCATTAGTAGTTTTGGCATTAAGTCCTCAAAGCGTCAAAAGTATTTAATTATTTTTATTATTTATTTTATTATTCAAAGCGTCCTCAAAGTATTTAATAAAGCAACATGACAGTTTTGGCATTAAGTCCTCAAAGCGTCGAAGTATTTAATAAAGCAACATGATGCTTGTGGGATGAGGTGCCTGCAACTTTGCATAAATATGTGCTGGTAGAAAAGACAAAATATGTTTTACTAGAGTGTCATTACTTTGTTACTGTGCTGGACTTTAAAAATGAAAGGCCAAATTCCTAGTTAGTATAAATTATCATCATACTTTGACTGAAATGCTATTTATATTGGAAGTGTTGAGAACCTGGCCACAGATGTTTAATTTATTGCAATATTTATCATGTAGATGTGCATGGCAGTCACATTTTTTCTCTAATATCCAGTGCTGCTTAGTGTAACCTTTCAAAATGTCAAGAGCTGCAACTCTGTGAGGACTCTCTGAAAATATTTAAGAGGACAAAGTACCTTTGGAACCAAGTCCCTGGCAGGAATCCAGGTCAAAAGAGCATGAGTTCAGGCTTGATAGACATTGGCCCAAACCACAGAATATCAACATTTGAAGTGATAATTTGGTTTCGTTCCTTTACAGTTATAGCACAGAGGCCAAGGGCAGAATTGGATTAGCAAATGAACTTTCAATAAGGATGTTTCCATGTCTGAGCATTTAAAGAGAGACCAGGCAGAAGATTGTACTGCTTTTGGCCCTGTGTTTTTTTGTGGCTCGTTAAAGACAAAAGAGATTCTCAGCTATAGCACCAAGAGCTGAAAACTCTTTTTAGGAACTCAAACATGTAACCGTAGGTAGCCTGTTTTTCCGTATGTGTTGAATTTGGAATTGTGACCAGACCTCACTGAAATTCCATCCACTTTTGAAATCAGTGTCTCAAGTTAAACTCCCGCATGTGTATTCCATGTTTCTGAACTTGTCTGTACCATGTATTCAAAAGGGCCTGGATCCCTTCAGAAAACATTCAGGATATCACAGTTAACATCCATCGGCTGCACGTGAAGCGCAGTATGGGTTGGAAGAAGGCTTGTGATGAGCTGGAACTGCACCAGCGTTTCCTTCGTGAGGGGAGATTTTGGAAATCAAAGAATGAGGATAAAGGGGAAGAAGAGGCAGAATCTAGTATCTCTTCCACCAGCAATGAGCAGGTATGTGCTGCCATGATGTTTGCAACTGGTGCAGTTTCATAAAGAGCACACGCAATCACAGAGTCACAGAAGGATTGGGAGACATCTCTGGAGATCATCTAGCCCAGCCTCCCTGCTCAAGCAGGGGCTGCCCAGGACCAGAATGTCGTCGGGAACCTGGACAGATGACATACAGCAAGTTAAAGGATGGCATATATTGGTCTAAATTACATGGAAATTAGTCTGGTGCCCTGTCTGCAGTTTTATGATTACAGAAGGAGGACTCAAATGTTTGTTTTTTCCCATGTTTTGTAGCCTAGGAATTGCAAGAGTGTAAAGGTTTTTCCTGATTTTCTTGGCTGACCTCTGCGCGGTTTCATGAAGTTTGTCATCAGTAGCTCCTTGATGAAACAGAGCAAGATTTCTGAAGTTAAATAGGCCTGTTCAAATTAAATGTCATGGATATCACATGGACTGCAGTGCTGCTGCCTTGGACACCCATCACGGGGCAGCACTGTAGCCATTCAGCCTTTCCAGGGCTGGAGCATTCCCACTTTGGACCATATCCTGCGCTACGGATCCCTGGGTGACACTAAGTGTGCGTAACATTTTCAGCAAGTCCAACTAAAGTTAAGTGCAAGCATTGCCCTTTAGGAGCATATGACAGCAACTGACTGAAGTAATCTAAGCATAATTCTGCAAAACAAGAAAATTTATCTCTTTAAAAAGTACTAAAAGCACACAGGCCTAAAATATAAAACGTTGCCTTTCCAATATGCATCTTCTCTTATTAAGAATGGATCTTGTTAGTCATTCATTGTCCAAGCAAGTGTTATATATTCACTATCACTGACTTGGCAGGAGGATTATAATAGATTGAAGAATGCTTCGAGCTGTATTTTTGGCAGTCTTTTCCCTGGCGATATCTTCTTGCCTCATTTGAAACCGCCATCCTCTCTCTAGGTCTGTGTTTTAATAGATGAGAGTGTTTTGACCCTTTTCCTCTGCCCTTTGGTCAAGCAGTTCTATCATCCAATTTGTGGCTAAAACACTTGTTGCTGGATGTTGGCACAGGACTGGATGTTGTTTTAAGGGAATGCTCCATACCAAGACTCTGCCAACTTTTCAGCCCTGTTTAGCTAACAAACCCTTGGTAGCCCCTTTGGTTTCATGCAGTGTATGCAGGCACACAGGAATACAGAAAGAAAAATATTCATTCTCTAATATAGTAATATTCATGAGTGGTAACTGAGACATTTTCCCAGTTTTTCAGAAGTTAAATTAATCATAGGGTTTAAACGGTCCATTTGAGTATCTTCTATTCCACCCCATATGCTTCATTGTTTTATCTGTTTCACTGATTTTCCAGGTACAGGAACTTCAGAGTAGCCGTCCAGCTCCGGGCTCTGAAGTATTCGGCAATACTCTGTCATTAACACTAGCTAGTACTGGAGACTTTGGAAAAGAATTAAGAGCTTTGCTGCAGACAAATGTAAAATAATATACCCCTCCCTTAGATCTCAGCTGGGTTTCTAATGGTTAGAGATGGGCTTTTGTTCTAAAGCATGAAGTTTAATATTCTCCAAATATAGGTGGTCGTAATCCATTATTCCAAGTGTGGATAATCTTGTTACCTTTACCCGTATACGTTTTCTTTATGATCTTTGCTGCTTTCTGGCTTCGGCAAGATCTGCTGCCTAATTATGGGTTGCTGATATCAGAATTTTCCAGAAAAAAAAATATGAATTTTTATGTGAAATGAAGCAAAGAATGCTTAAGGTAAATACATACTGAATGTCAGAACTTGTTCATTAATTTTGTTCATTTGTGAGATCATAGCGTTGACAATGTAGAAAACATGGTATGCACTTCTCATTTAGGAACAGTATTCAGCTTTCTATTTGTTGAGTTAGATGATAAATATTCCTAAATAGAAGGTGCTAAAAAAGCACAATGAGTGCTACTCATTTTTGGAATGATCCAATATTCTTTTCATAATATTCACAGCTGAAGGTTACTCAGGAACCAAGAGCAAAGAAAGGACGACGTAACCAGAGTATGGAACTCAAGAAAGAAGTGAGTAAATTCAGTTACCATATTTGGAGAGTTAGCAGGACAGAAAAAAATCTGAAACTATCATAGACACTCCTTTGTTCTTTGTCACCTTCTACTTATGTAACTATACTGATTTTAGAGCTTGACTCTCCCTGCTAACATATTGATACCTGCCACATGCAAGCCCTTGGTATCCTTATGGTAATATTCTGTGTCATGAATAAATCAACAGTCAGCAACAGTCAGCTAACTGTTCTAGAATTGACAAATTAAAGCTGGTTTAATAAGTCTGTTGAACGAATAAATAGCAGCAATTAGAAAATATTTATATTTTACAAGATCAAGGATAATAAATTAATAAAACATCACTGCTGTCCAGACTGAACCATTTAACTTCCTTTCTTGTTTTTCCAATTTGGACACTGAGGGAAGTGGGAGAAACAGCAGCCTGTGATCATACAGCTAAAAGACTGTACTATTATGCTTGCACACAAGGGGGCAGTTGTTGAGACAGCCATAAATTCTGTTATTTCTTAACTTGCGAGTATTTTCTTCTTGGCCTTGTTTCAGCTGCAGTCTGAATGCTAAGTAAAACAACTGATAGCAACTGATAAGGGAATGTTGAAAGAATCTTTTCTATTGCAGAAGCCTAAGCGAAGTTCCTATAAATGACTTTGTAATTCTATGCATCCCAAAGCAGCATGTGATTAGTCATTGGAGAAAAAAGAAAAAAAAAAGAGAAAAAAGAGGCATATTTACTGTTTCACATAGACACAATCCTAGGAACAAGACTGAAGACAGAGGAGGCTTTAGGTAGTTCAGCACCAGAGCCATGTGGGAAGAGACTGGTGCCTGAAGGACAAACATTGTCACTTTTCCTGTCCCAGCGTCTGTGACCACGTTATATCTGATCCTGCCTGGCTGGCTCAGAACAGCAGGTTTTGTGAGACCAAGACTCAGCAAGACCTACTGTTTTTCGCATCTGCAGCTCCGTGGGGCACAGGCTGTGTTTGCGAGCAAGATAGGAAGGGTGCAGTCTTCTTGGGTTATGTATAATTGGCGGTGTCTTGTCATTTTTATTGTGTTTTCTGTCAAGCAGTTGCTGTGATTTGCTTCATATGTTTATGTCTTAACATTTGCCGCCTTAGCCCTGCTCGTATTTGGTCAGTGATCCAGAAGTCAATCAGAGTGATACATTAAAGAGCAATTGGTTGCACAAGGGGATACACAGTCAGTGTTTTGATCGCTATGACCAATACCCCGTTTCACAAACGAGCAGAAATTCCAGTCCCAAACAAGTCTAGCCTTTTAAATAAACTTAAAAAAATAGGTTAAAAGAAATAACATTCTTCTGAGTTTTTGGACACTTAAAATATCAATAATTGTTTGCAGGAATATTAATTCTATCTGTGCTGAAGGGCAAGAACAATTGGTGCTACACCGTAATAACGCAGGGGGCTAAATCCAGTACAGTACACTACAGTAACTGTGATTTCTTTCCTGATAACTGCGTAATTACAGAAAGCTTCTGTGGTTATCCAAGTCTAGTTCTGTTATTAGAAGCAAGATTTAGACTCTCATTAGCCTTTCATCTTCAAAGCCCCTTTGAAATATTAATCAATCTTTGCAGCAGCTCTATGAAATAAATGAAATATTGCAGACGCCAGCGCAGCCTGCGAGGCCAGAGTAAGCCTGGAGCTTGCCAGCATAATGCAGGCACATGGGCCACACACCTCAGTTCCTTCAAAGAGAAGAGTAGAGGGAAATACAGGCAGTGCCCTTTGGGTTTGCAGCGAGTTCCCTCTGCACTGGTGAAATTAGTGTCCTGGTCCATCCACACGCTTCCTTTTGGAAGGTTCCTAGAGGGAGTCAGAAAATCCTCACCAGAGAGGATTCAACCCAGCTTGTTGATGGCTTCCTCAGGGCTTCAATGTCAAGTTAACACAAAATGTCTTCAGCAGAAGCTTTCATATTCAGTGTGCCGTGTTAGTAAGCTACATTTTCTCTTCGGAGTGAGCTCAGAGTTACCTTGTTCTGTTTTGATACCTGGATTTGCAAGTTTGTTCTTTCTCTGTAGGAGCCAGAACCTGAAACCGAAGCAGTAAGTTCAAGCCAGGAAATTCCCACAATGCCTCAGCCCATTGAAAAAGTTTCAGTCTCAACTCAGACCAAGAAGTTAAGTGCCTCTTCTCCAAAAATGCTGCATCGGAGCACCCAGACCAGTAATGATGGAGTGTGTCAGAACATGTGCCATGACAAATACACCAAAATCTTTAATGACTTCAAAGACAGGATGAAAGCTGATCACAAAAGAGAAACTGAGAGAGTTGTGAGAGAGGCAGTGGAAAAGGTACCACTTATCAAGCACCACCTAAACTCTGGTTTGAGGTGGGGCAGAGGGGGGCAGGTCACTGCTTTTTCTGCTTTTCTAATATTTACACTTAAGGAAATGGGTCAAAAAGCTGTTCCAAAGAGACCACATTAAAAGAGTCTTCACCGTTTCTTTCCAAGTCCTTTCTATATCAATAGACCTTAGTTTAAACAGAATTTTTTTTTGTCATAGAATCATAGAATCATAGAATACTTAGGGTTGGAAGGGACCTCTAGAGATCATCTAGTCCAACCCCCCTGCATACACAGGGTCACCTAGAGCACGTGGCACAGGACTGCATCCAAGCGGGTTTTGAAGATCTCCAGAGAAGGAGACTCCACAACCTCTCTGGGCAGCCTGTTCCAGTGCTCTGTCACCCTCACTGTTAAGAAATTTTTCCTTAAGTTCCTAAGGAATTTTTGGTGTTTCAGTTTCCGGCCATTTCCTCTAGTCCTATCAGTGGCCACCACTGAAAAAAGACCATCACCGTCCTCTGCACTCCCTCCCTTGAGGTACTTATATACACTGATTAGATCCCCTCTCAGCCTTCCAGTTTCCAGTTCAGTGAAATCAATCTGTGATGCAAAAGTGAAACTGTTTCTTCATGATTATCTGTTTACAATGCATTTGTGACCATAGTGTCAAGTGTGGTTGTAAATGATAGCATTGTTTAAATGCAGTTCATACTCAAATCTTTTTTTGTCAGTCTTTTCACCTAAGCATTCAATAGACTGGCTGAAATTTGTTTGAATTATCTCATTTAATGATAACAGGCCTAAAATGAGATATGGAAGTCTGAGCTGGTCACCTCTGGCTGAAGAGAACAGGACAATGCAGAGGATGAGTCATCTGACCTATCTTAAGTACTTGTCTTAAAAGGAGATGAATTTCCTCCTACAGGGAAGGACTGTGGAAGGACCTGGGATGTCTCGGTGTTAATACTTTAGGATTAAAGCACCAAACTTTTAGATGTCTGAGTTGGGGCAAATGAATCCTCACCATTAAGAATTTTAACTGGTGCCTCCTGTGAAACTCAGGAGCATTGCATTCTGCATTTTCCATCATACCCTTGCTGTAAACTTATATGCAGTTGAAGGTTTAGAATGGACAAAATCTCTCTCTAAGTTAATACTTATATTTGTGAACTGATGATTAATAAAATATCTATGGAACTTAAGCTAGTTTTATAATTGCCTTGTAGAATAGAATTGCGATTGCATTTTTGTTGTGAACATGCATTTTCTGGTGGATGAATATGTTTATGAATAGAAGTTCTATCCATAAGAGGGAACTTTTTGTTTTCTAAATTGGAGAAAGTATATTACTTCGATTCACATCAATAACAGTATCTAGAAGTGTAAACAAAGTGAAATTATTCCAATAGAATAGTTGCCCATTGATTGGATTTTCTGTCTTTCTTTTTTCACCAGCTGCGTACCGAGATGGAAGAGGAGAAAAGGCAGGCTGTAAATAAAGCTGTCGCCAACATGCAAGGAGAGATGGACAGAAAATGTAAGCAGGTAAAGGAGAAATGCAAAGAAGAGTTTTTAGAAGAAATTAAGAAGCTAGCAGGCCAGCACAAGCAGCTGATATCCCAGACCAAGAAGAAACAGTGGGTAAGTGTCAGGAATTTTTACCAGTGAATAACTGAAGGTATGTAATGCAGAGTGCAGGCCGCCTGACACTTTCTCCCTTATTACTTTGGACTCTCCCCTTGTTTTGCTGCTTTCTCAGTGTTAAGGTTTTCCTCTCCTTCATATTATCAGTTTCAGATTTTCTTAGTCTCCAAATCAGGCTCTCATTACTTTCCATCTTCACTGTTTACTGTTAATAGCACCACCCTTCTTTCAGCCCAACTAGACGTTAGCATCAAAATATTTGTTTCTAAACATTGCTTTACTCATGCAATTGTCTTCCCTACCAAACAGGTTTTATATTATGTTCAAATACTTTTGACCTCAGGTCCTTAGAGGGTGCAATCTCTGCCTGCATCTGTTTGGATTCCCCTGCTAATAATGCTGTTTGTAGGTATCTTTTGGCCTTTTCCTCCCTTTTTTATATCTTTCATATTTCTGTAAGACAAAATTTTCTAAATCTACATATTCCCTCCCGCCCATGCATCACTTATTCAGTCCTTAAACTCAAATCTGCAAAAATGCTTATGAAAAGCGTGTTTGTCCATCTTTTTAAAAATGAAGAGACCTAACTTGCCATTCTTATTCTGCTGCTGCAAACATTTCCCTCCTTTTTCTTTGTGTTTAATCTCTTGTATTTTCTTTTCAAGCTAGAACTATGTTTTCCCATGTGCTTGTGCAGCATCTGCTCAAGCATTGCAAATACTGTAGTACTACGCTGCTACTTTGCAATACAAAATGGGCGGAAGCTTCATTATTTTTGAGGATCAGCGAGCCTTAAACACCTAGAAATGTTGCTGTTCCCCAGCTAAATTTCACAGAGGGTGGAAATTGAGTGATTGAGCAGGGAATTACACAGTTGCAGTAGCTATCTGTAGAATCCAGGCGCTTTAGTGTGGGATTTCCTGCTCGCCTGGAGCTGGGGCTGCGCCGCGCGAGGAGAGTGAGGCCTCGCCACACGGTGGCAGGCGCCGCGAGGCCGCTCGGCCTCCCGCTGAGGTGGCTGCGCGGCGCCGCTAACGCTCCTTCTTGCCGCTCCGCAGAAGCGTGAGGCAAATGTTAAGGAGAGGCACTAGGTTGCTCTCACAGCTAGAATTGCCTGGGCGTTTTAAGGGGAGAAAAACAAAGGGCTTCAAGTGCCACAGCTTCTGGAGAGATTCATTCCTGTTCCTAGCAGGCTTGCCTGATGGTGTGGTGATACTGGATTGATTGGATCTCTTAGGGAATACTTCCCTGTCTACCTGCCCTTACAGACCAGAGATGTTATTAAAGGCTCAGACTTGATCATGTTTCCCATGGTGTCTGCATACGTGCTTTCTCTGTGACACTTGAGAGAAACTGAATTGGTTTTGCCCAAAATAAAATTACATCAAATGAGCTATCTCTGTCAAAAGCGAACTGCACATGCGAACTGTTGCCACCATTCGGCCAATAAGCAATAATTCAGTTGCAGTAACAGGATCATGACTCCGTGCTCTTTGCTATAGTTGCTTTCTGCAGCTTTCTGAATGACACCCTCCTGGATCTTACTTCAGTTTGTTCCAGGGAGTGGAATCAGGGAGTGTCCTGGTACCACATCCCTGCATCTTATCCTCATGAGGTGAGGTGCGTAATGCCTCTTTCCAAGCAAGCAAACTAAATGATATTAAGAGCATCCATGAGGCTTTCATGGTTCCGTGGCTGCACAAGTATCTGCCACCGCAGAGATGCATGTGCCGGAGGCAGCCGGTTGCTCCCCGGCAGCACGGGGAGCGTAAGGACAAGCACCGGCGGATCCGGGGCGGCTGGAGCCAGGCCAGCCACACAGCTCCCTTGTGGCGCTTCCTTTGGCGGCACTAATGACAGTCCCTTGTGTGTAACCCTGCTCGTGTGTGCCGCTGTTATAATAATGATGCCGCCTTGCTAAAATCTCATGTAATTAACACATACTAAATGAGTTATGCTGGCTTTGCTTTTTAATTAGAACCAACAACCTCTGCTTTTTATTTTTTTTTCCACTGCAGATGTCTAGGCTTGGGTATACATCTGCTATTATTTATGCTGCATTTGTATTTTTCTTATGCTTAAGCAAAAAAAATCCAGCCAGGATCAAGGGATGGCTGTGCTGGTGCTGTGCAGGCGCAGGAGGAGACAGGATCCCAGCCCTCAGGAGCCTAACGTGAAGTTAAAGAACCACATTCCCTGCTGCTCTAAATGGTCACAGTCCCCTTGACTTAGCGAAACTCTGCTTTTATATCCTCAGATACCTCAAATGAGTAGCAAAAGAAAAGAAATGGAAAGGCAAGGATAACAGTCATGAGGTTTTGCAGTTCAGTGAATTCAGACTAGAGTGCTGGTCTTGATATGGTTATTTTAAAATCTCTTCTGTTTATTTGCATAGATTGGTGCAGTTTTGCTTAAATTGGTGCAGAGCTCATTTTTTAATCACTGTCTCTTTCCATAATGTGTATATTTATTTGAATTTGAAACAGGTCCTGTTTTTTAAGTGAATAAGCTTTGTCCGTGATATGTGCTGTCTGAAACAAATGCCAAACTACTGAAAACATGTTTAGAAAGAAGAAATACAAAGAAGTGGAGGCTGGAGCTGGCATGTTGCCTTCTTGGCCACATATGCTGGTGCAGGTTTAGATAACACTATATGTTATTTTTATTAGTGGAGATTTACATCCAGTGCTTATGGACTACATGCAGAAGGAGCGTCAGGATCTACAGATCAGAGTTGTCCTCTTCAGTCTTTTTTTTTTTGATCTCTCCAAAGCAGATAGATGCAAATGTGGTCTCCAGGCTGACTCCCATGCTGAGACACATCTGCTACACGGACCTTTTCCGTGGGTGCCCCTAATGGTTCCCGTAGGCTCCTGGGTCAAAAAACACCAGAAGTGCTACACCAAAAAAAAAAAAAAAAGGAAAAAAGAAAAAGCCAGAAATACAGCTCTCCAGAGGTTTGCACTTGTTTGCAAACATGGCTACAGATAAACTGCCCTAGAGCTGTTATAAAAAGAAAATGGAAGGGCCCCTTTTGTGTGCAGCTGGAGCAGTGGTTATGTTATCAGCTTAGCTGATGTAAAAGGCTGCTTTCTTGGATCTGCCTTTCAGTACTGGGTAGGGTTGTTGGGGCTTTGCTTGGTTTTAAGGCCATTGGGTTGTTTTCTCTATTTTATCAGCAGTGTTGTAGCTCGACAGGTGATTAAAAAGTAAATTTTGCCCTGTGTTTTGTGTGGTGTGATGGGAGCCCGTACAGACCATGCTGCCTCTGTTCCCAGTCCCTCAGTGGGTGTTGAAAACTGCATTCCTAAAAATACTTCTCTGGTTTTGAGTATACTAGAAAAGAAATCTCAGGAGCCCAGATGAAGTGACCAGTTTTTAAGATTGCTCAAAACCTGTTCAGTCCAGGAGTGCCTGTTGATTTATCACAGCTTTTAGGACATAGATCAGGATGCTGTTATACAAATGTAGAATAATAATAAAAAAAAAGGTTCTTGCACCAGGGTTTGAAAATCTGAGTCTGCTCTCCTTCAGCATCTTAATGAGAGGTGAGTTTTTGAAAAGAAACCGTGCAGACTGGAAAATTCAAACCTATTCTGCAGATGTGCTACAGACGGCTGCTTCGCTTAGGGTGAAGATGCCGCCTGCGTTGGGGCGGCCCTAGCACGACCGCCCGGGAGCGGGTGAGGAAGCCTGGGGGCCTCCGGGGCCCGTCCTGCAGGGATGCTCCCCCTGCGATGCGGGGATCCTGCTAACCCTGGCTGTCTCTTCCCTGCAGTGCTACAACTGCGAGGAGGAGGCCATGTACCACTGCTGCTGGAACACCTCCTACTGCTCCATCAAGTGCCAGCAGGAGCACTGGCACGCCGAACACAAACGCACCTGCCGCAGGAAAAGATGAACCGGCCGCCCTCCCCGAGCAAAGCACCCCATGATGGCTATTCTCAGACACAGCGGTTTTTGTTTCCAAGAAGCCAAAATTGTTTAGAATTTGCTTCCCATTTTGCACCAGCCTTTAAACACTTTTCGTAAAGGAAATTTTGCACAGTGATTTCAGTCTTCTGTTCAGTGCTCCTCCAAAATTTTGTCAGCGAAATGAAATTTAACATCTGTGGGAGCAGGTTACTTTAAATAATTTTAAACTAGAGGATTTGTTGCATTTTCAGCAAATTTTAAAACATTTTTAGGTTTTACAGAGATTTTAATCTTTAAAAACAGCAGATCTAAAAATAAAAAATGCAAGTTTAGCAAAAGGAACATTTGAAAACTAGATCTGAATATAAGAATCATAGAATCGTTGAGGTTGGAAAGGACCTATAGAGATCATCTAGTCCAACCGCCCTGCACACGCAGGGTCACCTAGAGCACTATAGAACTGTTTCAGAAAAAAAAAGAAGCATACTACCTTGATGTAACGTTTATTTCTTAACCTGTTGAGCTGGTTTTGTTCAGCTTAATTTTACTGTTTAAAGGCATTATCTATTGGTTATACCAGTGGGTACATGATTGAATTTAGGGAACAGGGTTGACACAGCAGGTGCTAGTCCTGCGTATTTTTTCTTAAATATTTCCCAACTGTGTTTTATTTTCATTATTTCTTTTCAATATATAACTTTTATAACAAAATATTAGCTTTGATCTTGTAGTTTAAAATCACAGGGGAACTGGGGTAATCTTTTACTGAGCTGGATCTTAGAGAAAAATGAATATTTAAATTTTGAAGTTTGCACATTTCATCTTTGTCCTAACATGAGTGCTTGTAACAAGAACAAGAAAAGCCAAAAAGAAAAAAAAAAGAACTACCTTTATTCATATGTGGAATTATGAGGCATACAAATTTCTTTCTCACACCCCCCTTCAGCCTCGCCAGCCCAACGTCATTTGACTGCCTATGATCTGGTGTCACCTGGTCCATCCTGACTTGATAGCAAAAGGAGAAAGAGCACTTAAGTTTCACAGAAGCCGTTATGTTTGTAGTAATGGGTCATTGCCTAATAATGAGCTCCATCACTGTACTCAGAATGAAGAATAATGCATGTTAATTTTCTTGTATTAAAGATGCCGTGATTTGTAAAAAGTCTGTATTTTGCGGAATGTCTGGATTAAGAAGCATTACCAATAGGAATGGATCGATAGTTGAAAAATGATTTTTTTTGTTTGTTTTATATATAGATATATGAATTGCATCCATGTTCAGAGACAATTTTTTAAATAGATGTAAAGCTTACTTAAATAGCTTTTCTTTTAAAGTGTCTCTCAGCATTTTAGTTTTTTTCCAAGATTGGTCTTAGACTGAGTCATATGCCCATTAATCATCCAGCTATTTTTTGAGAAGTTAGATGAATAATTTGTAAATATTTATTTAGATCTTTGATATTTATTGAAAGCAATTACATGATGGAACGATGGAAGCGGAAGAATCAGGAGGAAAGCCTTTAAAAAAAGTTTTCTCTAGGATTTGTCAGGGTCATTGTAAAGATTAAAATATAACTAAGACTTCTGTGAACTGCCATTGAAATCCTGATCTTTTTTACTTACAGTGGTGATATAAGTTAATTGACTAGATATTGCCAAATAATGCCCAGTATGATACAGAAATTAAGCGGTGAGTTGATTTGAAAACAATAGTAGGTAGATGGTAACTTGTATTACCATGGCTACATTATTGCCTGATAAATGTGTAATTAACTTTTGTCGCCTCTGTGTTGTGACTGTAAAACACTTCACAACTAAAAATCAATCCTGTTCGATTACTTTACAAGTTCCAAAAACTTCGATCCACCCCTATGAAAGCAAGTTATTGTGGAAATATTTTTGGTGTAAATCATTCCAGAATATGTAATATTTAACTGATAGCTGCATGAAAGTAAGATTCGTGTTACTTTGGCTTTTTTGTCTCTGTTGACACGGTTGCACATTTCCAAGTTACTACAGCGTGAAAACTGTGTGTTTTAAAGAAAAAAAAAAGAAAACAAAAAAAAAGATTGTGGCCTGGTTTTGTATAAGTTTTAGGTAAAATTACAATTGATTGTTTTAGGATGATTTAAAATTAATTTTTCTGCAAATCATAAAGCTATATTAAAGTGTTGAGCTTAGCCACTATGCACATTGTAATTATTCATTGTGGCTGTCCAGTTTATGATGCATTCTGGCATTTTGTAAGCTGCTCTGACTAGCAATATATAGAGTCATTTAATGTGTTAACATTGGTTAATAAATGTATTTAAAAAAAAATCACTGAAAGCGTCCTTGTTATTTCTGGCCAGTTGTGCCACGCTCCAGCTGTAGGCTTGCCTGACACTGGTATTTTTACTTTTCCTTACTGGGAAAGAGCTTTAAAAAGAAAAGATCTGCCTCGGAAAAGTCCCCTCGTGTCCTTGTTGTTAGTAGTAGGGACCAGGTCTTGCCAGGTAACCTGATAAAAAAGAGTCTTTTTGGTAAGTGAGCACAGAATCACAGAATTGAAAAGAAAACAAGGTTGGAAGGGACCTCTAGAGATCGTCTAGTCCAACCCCCTGCTCCAGCAGGGACACCCAGAGCACGTGGCACAGGGTGGCATCCAGGAGGGTTTGGAAGATCTCCAGAGAAGGAGACTCCACAACCTCTCTGGGCAGCCTGTTCCGGGGCTCTGGCACCCTCACAGGAAAGAAGTTCTTCCTCATATGGAGGTGGGACTGCCTGTGTTTCAATTTGCACCCATTATCCCTTGTCCTGTCACTAGTCACAACCGAGAAGAGTTTGGCCCCATCCTCCCTACGTTCTCCCCTCAGGTACTTATACATATTGACCAGATCTCCTCTCAGTTTTCTGCAGGCGAAACAGGCCCAGTTCGCTTAGCCTTTCCTCATACGAGAGATGCTCCAGTCCCTTAATCATCTGCCCATCGCAACTCAAGGAAGTGACATAGCAGTGCAGCTCCCAATGCTTCCCCATGGCCATCAGCCGAAAAGGATCGAATTTCACCCTGTATTGGTGTTTCATTTATTTATATATTCTTGCTGTTATATTTTACATAGGAAGGAGCAGCGTTTCTGCCTCCCACTTCCTTTAGGTGCCCAGCTCCGGCCTGCTTGGCTTTACCCCCTCCTCGATGCCTGAGCTATGTTTGGGATCAGTTACTCGTACTTAGGGGCCACCCAGCCAATTTTAGCCTCACAGAGCAAGCACATGTATGCAATCTATATATCCATATGCCATCCAAATGCTTTCATAAATCATGCCGCGGGGCAAGCATCAAAAGCAGAAAGGTCCTGTGACTTCTTGGTTTCCGCTTAAGTAAAATAATTGGAGATCGAGCGCGGAGGCAACACCAAGGACGCAAAGCCACGGAGCCCTCAGTCACGGTGCAGGCAAGAGGCCCCTAGAACTAAGACATGCTGTAGTCATATATATGTATGTATATGTATATATATTATATATAAATATGCACTCTGTATCTATATACACACTCCAGTCTCTTCAGGTTTCACTGGCTGTGGCTTTTTGGTGCACAGGGGGAAACAGGGACCTCCCACACACATAAATCCGCACCAAGGAGTCCAAGCAAATGTGTTTTGGCCTTACTGAGGTTCAGAATCACCCTCAGAAATCATGAAGCAAAACCGTGTGCAGTGGGGAAGCGTGGGCTGGGCTTGCTGCAGCAGAGGGAGCATGAGAAGAGCCGTCCCAGCCCCGTTGGAGAGCTTGTCTGGCCGCCCCATCACCCGTTCCCACTGTCACAAAATCCAAGGCCCCAAATACCCTGTTTTCTGCACAGAATCACTCCTGGTGACACTCTGGGACTGTGAGGCCTTTGCGGCTTTTCCAGTACCTGCCTGTTCAGCCTCTACTCCCTTCTACTCCCTTCTACTCTCCAGCACCTGCTGGAGAAGGAGAAGGAAGAGGAGGAGGAGGAGGTCACTGGTGTTTGTGTCCTGCCCAGCAGGTGCCATACGGTGCCAGTCAGACACGCTGAGGCGGCCAGGCCTCGCGTTACCCCGCAGGCCTTTCCAACACGCTTGTTTCCAAGGCAGGGGCCACTCGGGCTGTGCAGCCCTGCCCGGCGCCGGAGCTAGACACTGCCGAGGAGCTTCCTGCCGGCCTGGACACGGGGTCTGCCTCTGCACAGGTCTCCATGTGGCTTCACTAGGAGTGCGCGCACGGCGAGTGTGCGGCGCCGCTCCTGGGTCCCTTATGGGCCCTGCTGAAAACCTGCTCCTTTAATGCAGAGCCACACTCACAACTGAAGCCACGCGCAGGTTCAGTTTGTTTTTTCTAAGGGTAGAACGATCCCAAGCGCAGGGCTCTGAGTGTTCTCAGCGGCCTCTTGTTCTTATCCTTTCTGTGGCTCAGCAGCTCCTAGCCAGAGCTGAGTAAATTGCCTTAATTTTACATAAAATATATTTGTCTATCTGCTGACAAGACTGATGGCAATGTCACACAAGCGCCTGCCTCCCCCGCGGTGCGTGGGCTGCACGGCTCCCTTGCTCTGCGAGGAAGTGGAAACCCAAGCACCGGGACCTGGCGTGCGTGCACAGCGGCAGCGCTGTTGGTGCAGCAAGGCCCACACCGTGTTACATGACCACTGAAAATGGAAGTGTGTTCACAAAGGTTTTCATATAAAGAAATCTCGGTTGCTCATTAGAAAGATTTCAAAATTAAGTAAACTCTAAGTGTAGTTTTATTATGGTTTGAAATAGCAGTTAAATGCCTCCTGGTCTGTTAAAAGCCTTTGCCGTGAGAGTAAAAAAATGCTTCCAGCCTTTGAGTGAAAAGTAATTATAGCAACAACCGCACTTGGTTTGTTTTCTGCTTTTTCTTCGCTAAGTTGCTATCAGCAGAGGGAAGGAAAGGACACGGTGGACATGCCCAGCGCTGGGCCCTGGGGCCATGGTGGCCGTGTGGCCGCCTGCAGCAGACCCGGGGCCTCTGCACCGTGGGCAGAGGTGAACGCAGCGATGCGAATCCTTTCTGCCACGTGCAGCGGGGGACGAGGTGACATGAAAACCGCGCCGCTGCCTCCCGTACCCAGCGCCAGATCTCTGCGAGGCAGCAGAGGCATCCTAGAAATGCTAGCAAACAAGCGTGCCTGCCATGGAAAGTCTAATTCCTTCTGCTCGGCCAGCAGCTTCCATGGGGCAGTTGCTGGCTCCGGTTCCGGGCTGCCCCGGCTCCGTGAATGCTGGCGGTGCCGCGCTCAGCGCCCGGGCCATCCAGCGGGATCTGCGGCCCTGCTCGCAGCTGCTCTCCTCACCCTCTGCACCCCCTGCCTGGACCAGGGTCGGTTCCTGCTCCACCTCAGCCCTCCTGCCTGCACACGCTCGGTCTCACCGGAGCCCCGGGGCTGAACTCCGTGCGCGGCAGCTCATCCAAGTGCCCAGCCAGAATGTGGGTTCACCAGGACTGTGTTTCCCAGCCCCTGCACCTCCTTCATTTGCAGGGAGCTCGTTTCGGTGAGCAAATCAAAAGGTAAGTACCAGTTTTAGGCACCTGAGACCACACAGTTAGAAATTTTCGAAGTCTTGAACCTTAACAGCCACAGGTGTGATCTTCTCCCTCCTGGCTTTGCTTCCTTTGGTTTGCTCCTCTGCAACAGATGTTGTTCCTAAAACTGTCCATCTTCTTTTATGGCTTCTGGCTCCCCCTACAGTGATGCAGGCTCAGTTTCTAAACCAGCACATTAAAAATAAAGCAGTCCTCTGACTCCATCTGTACAATTCTCCTCTCATTCCCTCTCCTGGGCATCTCTCAACCTTTCCCACATGCTGCCAATTGAATTTGGAAATCCTTCTCTTCCGTTGTGCTTCCATCTGCTTCGTCCCTTCATCAGATCCCTCCACAGGACACTTTCTTGCATGAGGCCTATCACTGTCAAGCCACCAAGGCATGAAATTAAAGCAACTTTGTGCCTTTGATATTAGGCCATTAACTGGCAATAACTGCATAATATTTTGCAGTCTTTTATTTTTTGATTAATATTATTATTTGTGTTGTGGGGTCCCTGAGGCAGAAGCTTTGGTTTTCTTTTTTCCCCTCAGTGCATCATGCAGAATACGATAGGACTTTGGTCCTAAAGAAATCTTCTCCATGTAGCCCAGAAAGGAAGTGCAAGGGTGTTCCCATTACCCGCTCTGACTGGTGGGATGAACTATGATCTCCTTGGGAAATGCATGGTTAATCTAAAATGCCATGGACATTACAACATCATCATTCCCAACATCAGTGCTAAAAAATGCACAGAAATGGACTGGTAGTGGTTCACTGAGTAAGACTGAGAGTGCTGCTGTTAAAAGATGCAAACCTCAGTGAGGTACCTTACAAGTGACTGCAAACATCTGCACTGGAGGGAGCCCGGAGGCCTCCAAACCCAGCTCCTCCCCGGTTCCATTAGAGGTGATGGGTGACTGTGTGCCCCCCGACTTGCCCTTTGGATGGCAAAGGTGAATGAAGCAGGTTCCTGTGCTGAAAAAGCGGTTCGAGAAGTGGAGCTCAACAGGCATCACACGTGCAGGAGCCCTGGGCGGGCTCAGCGTGGCCGGGGCGCAGAGCAGGGAGCCACGCTGTCTTTAATAAAGCTTTTTCCCCGCAAAGTGTCAGCTACAGATGATTCTCTTGCTCGTGTCAGCACGGCACTGGCCAAGCGGTAGCGCTCCCGCTCTGTAGGACACCGGTCTCTGAGCGCCGCTGCCCCGAATGGGCCCGACGCCCGTGCACACACCCTGCCCGGACGCGTGGAGCTCCTCAGCACAGCCGACACTTGGCAAAATGATTTATAAACGTAGCTTGACGAAACCTGAACCTTTAAAAAAACAGCCATTAAACCATCAAACCGTTGCTTTTGTATTAGAAGCGGTACATAAAAATGATCAGCAACGCTTTGCTGTCCGGCCATCCTCCTCTTCCCCTGCCTGTGCTCTCTCTGCCCTAGGCGGTGGCCACGTTCACACTCGCCATCCCAAGGCCTTCTCCTGGCCTTCTGGGATCTCACCCACCTAAAACTGCATTTTACCGTTTGAACTTCCAGCCAGGCTACCGAAGGGAAGGGTGACTCCGAAATTCATCCGGTGACATCGCATCTCAAAAATGGAGTCAAGTCCAACCCTGGCCTCTGCAGAGGAGCTCTAGCAGTCACCTCGTATTGCAAAGAGATGGAATACGCAGATCACGCTTCCTAATGTTATTTTTTTTTTTTCTGGCGACCCAAAGCCTACATCTGTAGACAGGTCTGAGCCCTGTATTTGCATCAAACCAGTTACTCATCCTTTCACACTGGCAGAAAGCTCCAGCAGAAACGTCAACACTTGGATCTTTTAAGGGACTGATTAGAAATTTGCCAGTAGCAAAACCTTGCAACAAAAGTCACAAATGTGAGGAGTTTTACAGTACTAATGCTTGTTATTGCTTCTCACAAAATGTTACCAAGCTTACAATAATCTTTACACTTTCAGCAAAAATGTGAACAGTATATTTGAATATATTAAAAAGAATTAAAAAAACATTTCACAAAAAACATTTGTTGCCATATGAAAGTCTTTCAGCAATAAATGCCCACACCAGTATTTAAACATTGTTAAAAGTATCATGATTCGTACTAATAAATTATGCAACAAGAGAGGTAAACAAAATAAAATTACAGTATAGCTGTCAGCGTTCCTCCACAGAGCTCATGCAGCTCTCGGAAGCTCATTTTCAGATGACTAATTAAGAAACCAATATTTTCAGAGCAACAAAAATAAAAGCTTTTATTTGTTCATTTGAATATAAAACAGGCGTTATCACAGATGTACAAAGCGTACTGGTGGTTTAACATACAAGAAGGTTGCTGTCCTTTGCACATAAAAATTTTTGTTTGAAACTGTGATTGGCTGAGTTACATGAATTTCTCTAACCAGTCACCACACTCTATGAAATAACGCTGCTAACATTCAACTGATAAAAGGGACAGTCTTCCCTCGGGTAAAGTGTCAAGCAGGATTAAATATATATAATAAACAAGCACCATGAGGAATCTGCTCCTGTTTGATTAGTTTTGTGTTTAAATGTTCATTGTGTACCCTCTTTTTTGTGCATGTGCATCGAGTTGATTACATGGTTTTGTCTGACTTCAAAAGCACAAGGTCACAAGACAAACATTTTATACATTCTCATGAATGGTTTATCTACAGTACGATTTCTAATACAGAACAATCCTTCTTTATTGCTCAGTCTGATGGTGCTTAAATGTTTCTTTCCTTTTGCTTGCACAACAAAACCAGAAACTCAGTTTATCATTTCTCTTAACTCAGAATTTAACAACCACGGATGACAGGTTGCAGAAGAGAGCTGTTACTAACTGCGTTTCACAACTGCATTGCAGGTCTGATTTTCTCTACAAATGCAAAGTTGACTTCGTGAAGGTTAAAGTGATGCCTTAAATGACAGCTGAATTTGGTACTGAGATCAGCGATAGCAGGACTTCACAAGTTAGTTCACACACTGCAATTATGTTTGTAATCAATCAACATCTTGTCTGAAACCTTGCAACAATTCACTATTAAGAACAGATTTTACTCTTTTTAGGGAGCAGAAAATGAATCCGATGATAAACTATAGGGTTGGTCTTCAGAGCATGAACAGGGATATTCACAGGACAGTGGAGCTGGAAAGGATGGTCTGAAATAAAACAAGGCTGATGTGGTAAGATGCTCTGTACTGTACATGCAGACTAAAATGTCCCTACCTCTTAAAAAGATTTCAAACAACCAGCATTGAGACTCAGAAGCCAAACAAAACTATCATTAGCAGGGGTCCATTTGTTGTACAGACAAGATACGTCCCTTGGACGTGCAAAGAACATGATTACACTTGCCCTGCCACGATCTTAGTCATGCATACCCCGTATGAGAGCCAGCACAGGAAGGTATTTTGGACACGAAGAAAAGCATTCTTGGACTGCAGCTGGTAAATCCCACTCTTGCTCACAAATCGGTCAATTCGGTTAAAACCACATGAAGGAACCAGAAAGGTTAAAAGAGAAAGGGCTGCAGGGAAGACGACAGAACTGGGAAATCAAACCCCTCTTTATCCAAAGGTAGTAAAATGAAGGCAGCTGTGATGCATGTTTTCCTACTCTTCTCCCACTGGTGACCTTGGATGGGAGACCACGGGACTCCGTTCTTTAAAACAGGCCGTTCAGTTCCTCTGTTTTTTTTTATTAATTGGTTTAGGGACTAGTTAGCAGATGCTCAGTTTGTGCCAACTCCGGTGTAGTGACTGCTCGCTCCTCCCTGGTAAGGAATAAATTAAAGACCTTCGGAACGATCGTTCCCTGTAAATGTAAACTGGATGCACTGGCCACCAAGCTACGTGCTCTAGCTGAGAGGCAAACGGATAACTCTGTGCAAATAACCCCCAAACTCTTCCTTATAGCAATAAAAACACCAACTAAAACAATGAAAAATTGTGCAACAAAGTTCTGCAGCTAGACAACAGTGCTATTCCTCAACCTGCCTTTTCTAAGTCTAACAAGTGTATGCACATGCCAGCACGAATATTTATTGTTGCCTCCATGGCAAAAGAAAAAAAAATTACTTTAGTGCATTTTTTTTTTAGTTTTAAATTCATCAACTGCCTTAAAGGCAGCAATAATTCCACTTGCTGGTATCTAGAGGATTCTTTTAGACAGGGATACTTTGCAATCCAGGATTGCTTTTTCTTTCTTTTCAAAAAATTTGTGAGTAACATTTGATTATCTACAGTGGGAGACACCATGCAAGTGACAAGTACTGCATTTTAAACTTTAAAATCTTTTGTCATTAGTGAATTTATATTTCATATATATATATTTGATGTGATACTATCCACTCAAGATAATACAACACTTTGTTTTTATATTAGCAAACATTTCAAGAGTTTAATATTCTTGAATGCTTTTTCTCTTTTATACTTCTAAAGAGATCAAAATAAATTAAACGTTTTGTACATAATTACAGAAGAAGTAGTTAACTTATTTTATCTTTTTAGTTTAGTACAAAGATATTTGCAAGTTCATTGCCGAAATACACCTTATTTATAAATTTCTTCCATTTTAACGCCAACTGCAAAGGCTCTTTGGCCTTTGTGCTTTCAGCATCTCCGACAGAAAGCTGCTAGAGTTCTAATTGGAAGGTGCTACTTTGGGTATTCTCCTCGTACCACTACGCAGGTTCCTAACAGGTGGGAATCTAAAATGGCTTAAATTAGTAACGGATCTGCATTCATCAGCTTTTTTTATGACATATTAAAACAAATGAACAAAACAAGTCTTTGTATTAGTATGCAAATTGTTTAAAAGGAATCCATTTGGAGGGCAGAATAAAAAAAAATCTACTTCAGCTTACTTACTTAACATAAAATACAAAGCCACATTTACTCAGAAAGCAGTAATGTCCAATAAGCAAAAAATAAAAAAAAAGTTTAAAATGGGCTTTTCCAACAAACTGAAGGGCCTTACACCATAGTCCTTCTGTTCTAAAATTTAGTGGTAAAATAAAACACTTCACATTTTATTTCCTGCCAATCGTGACTGCTTTGAAAATTCATAATAGAAACAGTTCCATTTTGATGAAAGTCAGCATCTTATCTGCACTTTTTTTAGTGGACACCAAAAAAATTTATACATCTATAGTAAAGTCCATGGAAGCTTTAAGGTACAAGACTACATGTTGTAGGCCACATAGATGGGATCTAGCTGGTCTGCCAAAAATCCGTCTCGTAGGTGCATACGTTGTTTCTCTCCACGGGAGTTGATAGGAATTACACCAATGTCCACAACCACCACCACCCCTACAATCAGATAATGTTCCTCAAGGACCACATTGGTGACCAACGGAACCAGGTCCAAGGCTTCTTGCTCCGATCCATCCAGCTCAACTACAACAACCAAGAGATTTGTCCAGGTAAACACCGCACTGGAACGAAAGGAAAAGTAGCGTTAATTCTCTGTCCTGGTTTCAGTCCACACTGCAGACTGTGTTTCTTTGAAGCGTTGTGGCAAAAATCCAGCCCCATTAGCCCTCATTTTAATATTGCTGCAGTATGAAACATTTGGCTAAACTTTACAGAAACTCGAGTCTAACACAGCCTGTCATGTCAGGAACCAGTAAGAAACAGTCCTGTTCTAAAGCCAGATACTGCAGACGTTGTCCTTCCACATATGGGATATTGGAAGAAAAGGAAGACAGGAGTATTTGTCCCTCTCTCCCTCCTTCCTCCACCCCTCTTCTCAACCATCTCCAAAGCCCCCAGGAGGGCAGCAGGGCTCAGCAGTCCCTGGGGTGTGTAAGACAGACAGATCGTTGCTATTTCTTGCTCTACTCCTTCACATAAGTATTAATATTCTACACACACAACTTGGACATCAAGGCTGTGCTCTGTCCTTCCTTGCTCTGTAAAATCAGGGGATAAATACTCAGAACTATCCTGAGCAAAAGAAGCACCTGAAAGATGGAGTGTTTTACATACAGAAGATGATAACTTCAGAAAAGAGCAACTTACCCTAAGGCTTTATTAAGTCAAAAGTGCATTGTTTTGATCTACTAAGACAATGCTGAAAAAACATGAACTTTGTTTTACCCAGAGTTTGGTTTAGTTTGATTTCCTGCCACTTTGCCCAGAATTTAGCTATAAAAGTATGTTTCATGTTGATGCTTGAAAGAGTAGATTTAAGAAGAAAAGTTATTGTTTTTTAAATTTTATTTCATTTTCAGATCCCACTGAAGTATTATCTGATTAAATTCTTTTGTGACTATTGATTTGGAAAATTAACAGGTAGTCAAAGGACAGCTGTGCAGTGTCCTTTTGACTTGGGACAGTTTTGAAACTAATTTTAATTTGTAATTATGTTTTTGCAGGAAGTCTAGTAAGTTTTGACTGATGCTGAATATTAACAAAATGAAGTACGTGCCTGCACAGGTGACTGTGAGTTCCAGAATTGTGATGGATTCCTGTGCAAACATCTAAATTTACATTACACATATTTTAACAGAAAAGCCTGGGAAGTTTTATTAAAATATTCGTTAGCACTTGAAGCCATGCTTTAAATTACTGTTAGCTTGTTACCTGAGAAAGAAATTAATTGCAAGACTAGCAGGTTTCTAAAATACAGGCTAGGAGGAGCTGGTATGAGCCTAAAAGACTAATTCCTAGTCACTGACACTTCTAAGAGGGTCCCTATACTATTAAAAGTAATTTCACTAATCATGGTTATACTGGTGACCCACTGGTGACCACTGTAAGTACAGCAGAGACTTCTGTGTTCCCACCATTTGAGATGAAGTTATATTAGCCAGCATATATCTGTTGTGAATATATTACCCTCATGGCCGTGAGAAAAAAATAGAGATCCAGGAGGGCTGAACTTTCTCAAAAATCAGAGCTGTTCTCTAAAGATGCAGCACAGCCAATGCACACAGCTGGGATGGCCCCTGCTGTTGTTCCCATTGCACTCTGTACTTCAGGAAGAGGGAGGAAGTAGTTGAAACTGCTCCAGAGAAATAGGGCCATAATGTTTTCCTTCTCTAAACGGTTTGTGTAGCTTTACCTATTTTGTCATTGTGTGCAAGGGAAAGCACTTCCTTCCAAGTTCAAACATGCTACGTCCTGTTCTTCCTTCAAGGGTTTGAAGTTTCAATGAGTCAGCACTGAGCGTTAATTGGGTTACATATGCATACATTATTTCCAAAGGTACCCTACATTATTAACAACACTTTTGAAAATGCATGGCCTAGCTTGTTTCTCAACAGAAACAAACATGTGCCTCATTCTTTTGGCTCTTACATATCAAGATATCCGGAGTCCAGAGTCAGAGGGCTGTCGATTTTATGCTGCTAAAAATTGCCAAGACAAAAGGATAATTTTAAGTGACCTTTCAGTTAGATGCTCAAGAATAGAAGTTTCACAGCAGGATCATATATCCAGTCAACAAGTCACAGTTTCCCTTAACTGAGTTAAATGCCTCCAAATGAAAATGTATTTCTTTGAAGCTGAGCCTATTTTTAGGGTATATTGACTGGACAAACCCGGCACTTTTTGTTTGAAACAGATATCAATGCAGTTAAATCCCTGATGGATGATCATAGCTGAAACAACAGTTGCCTCCAACAAAAATAGAGACATATGCCACCATCCCAAATAAGGCATGTACGTGATATGTATGAAAAGAGAGGTTAACTGGCTATTATTCTTGGGGTGTTTGCCAACGACAAATGGAGGATCTAGAAGAAATTGGAACAGAAATTAAGTGAGAAAAATCAAGAACTGTCAAGTCAAGCACGATGACTAAAAGCTCTGTGATGGTGGCAAACAGGACCATTAGTCAGATCTCTGGCTAGGAAGAGGCTGGGGAACTGTGAGCAAAACAGATGCTGTTGGTCTGAACTAGGGTGAGACATCTCTGAGAACACCTCAGAGAACATTCATCAACAATTTCTCTTACTGGTGATAACAACCCTAAAGATCTTCAATTTTGACTGTGTCTTTGGGCAGAAGGTAGTACAATAGTATCACAAAACGTTTTCTGAAACCTCTCTCCACGTATGTGCCTTGTACATTACCATCCAAATACCAGACAGGGGAAGTGAAAGACTATTGGATTTCTTACTCTGGGGTAAGACAAGGGAGATCAGAGAGGCAGCTGAGATGGTATTTGCATGTACATTTGCAGATCTATCTGCATCTACATCTATCTCCTTGAGGAAATCCAATGGCCTTTCTCTTACCCCAGCTTACCCCAACCCTTAGTAGTTGCTACCATCCCACTCAGGATTTCCATGAAAAGGAAGCATAGAAAGATGGAAAGATGCCCAGCAAGCAGTTCTTGAGAAAAGAAACATATTATTTGACAATTGAAATCAGTGATGACCATTTATGCAGTGTGATACAGCTATTTAGTGCTCATTAGCCCGCACTCTGAGGACATACAAATCTCTGATAAACAGTTACTGCTGCTGAACACAGGAATTTATTTCCTTGTCTCTGGTCCTGCTACATATTTCAGCTTAAAATCTGTGGCTGTAACAGAGTTGTCTCAAAATAGGTTGACATGAAGACATCATCCACTGCTGATACTGATCTGACAGACTTTAAAGAAGAATTTCACAGTATCCTTAGAACATCTGTATTGGTCTAGTTGAGGACTTGACTATCGCCCAGCCTGTCTAATGCCTGGCTTGCCAGAGATGAGACCTTACCAGCTCTGTGGATGCTCTACGGTGGTTGCAACAAGACAGAACCTCAGTTATTGTCAGTCAAGCAATTAATGGCCTTAATTGCACTAGATATTTAAGGAAAAAAAATATGGCATTTTGACTAAAGAAACCAGTATGGTCTCTGTGATTTAAGTTCACTGCTCCTGTGAACTGCACCTTGCAGCTGGGACTGAAAAGAGAAATGGAGGATCACATTGCTCTGACTGTTGAGCCCGTGTTGTTTTTGGTTGAATGGAAAGGAACTGAGCTGGGGTTAGACCAAAAGGAAACAACTACCTGATTCTGTCTTCTGAGGCAAGACTAATGAAAAGCAATTTGTTCCTTTGTCAGCTTCAAGAAATGATTACCTGCAGTGTGCATTTGATGATGTGATACATCAAGACAACACCATTATTAACTTATTGGTTTACTGATTCAGTTTCCATTGTGACCTTGATCACTTCTTGATTTATTAATAACCAACTCAAAAGTAAGTGTGTTTACTAATAAAGTTTATTAGTGTGTTCATTTATTTTTAATGTTTGCTTGCTTGCTTTTTCTAATAAGGCTCTTAATGTTTGCACTTATGCCGGTTTGTTTGTTCTGATTAGAACTTGGAGTCTAAAACTCCAAGGAATAACTACTGACTTACCTGGGAGCTGCTTGGCTCTCTCTAATTAAAACCTTAATCCTTCATGCATACTTAAAAACACAAAAAATAAGCATACAGAATAATCTGTACAGAAAACACTCCTTCTTGATTAGATCTGCGTGTGAGAAGTTTAAATCTAAAGATGTATTTACAGTTGAGTTTTATAAATTTTATGAATGCCCTGGCAGACCATTTTCTGGATCGATTGAAATATCCAAGAATACCTCCAGATATTATATATACTTAGCTTTACATAAGAGCTGCACTGTTATACAATCCTTACCATTCTGTGATGCTCTTGTGTGCTCTAATTACAGAGGTCTCAATATCGATTGGATGATATCTCATCCCTCGTAACTCCATGGCTTCGTCTAATGCACCCACAACATAAAGTGCATCATGGCGTTCTGGTTGTAGGAAAAAAGAAAATAATGACTTTATACCTCAGTATATTAAATTAAAAAAAAGTTCACATTAATAAAAAAATAAATATGGCATGTATGAATTATCTGTAAATTTCTGAAACCGCAAAGCAATTTCGAAATGAATATCCTGCATTACTGCAATGCAATTAACAGCAGAAAACAAAAGACAGGAACACAAAACAGTATTCTGATTTGAAGAAAAGACAGATGCCTTTATCTAAAGACAGTGGGACAAATTCCTGTTAAGAACGGATGTGAACAGACTCTTCTCCACTCTTCAAGGTTCCCTAAACAGCCAACAGACTCTCTGTTTCCCTCTCTTTCCTTTCAAGCAGAAAGGAGCAACCTGACAAAATATGCTCTTGCAATAGCTTTGAGAATTTCAACACTGATGCTAAAGGCCACAAAGGTGTTTATCTATAAACTAGAAATAAATACTCTGTACTAGATATCAACGTGCTCATTAAGCGGCAAGCACAGAACAATTCTATTGGAGTGTGTGGAGTCTCCTTCTCTGGAGATCTTCCAAGCCCGCCTGGATGCCACCCTGTGCCACGTGCTCTGGGTGTCCCTGCTGGAGCAGGGGGTTGGACTAGATGATCTCTAGAGGTCCCTTCCAACCTCCACCATTCTGTGATTCTGTGTGAATTCTTATTGACTTAAGAAACAAATGAGGTTGAAATGAGACTTTTTAAAAGATATCAAGCCAAAATTAAACTACTTTATGTCATCCATGAAGGAAACAATATTCCCTAATAGACATTAGAGTAGATATAGAGAGGAGTTTATATTCATTTGGGTTGTTGCATGGTGCTAATGCAATGGCAACATTACCTCAACCCAGCAATGCAGGAAAGAATTTTCTCCACAGGAATCTAAAAACAGGAGGACGACAGAGTCTTAGCAGCTCTTTGCCAGGGGAAGATTTAAGCCATTTGGATGCTGAAGCTGTGATATCCTCAGAGAATCCTGTGTTTTCCCAAGGCTGGCTTATCATTATGACATGAGAAAAGCCTGCACGACTGAAATTAAATCTCTTCAGGAAGGTGTTCACAAAAGGACATAGGCAGCAGTCGTAATCCGGATTAATTACTAAAAATGCTTTCAGATTTGATGACTTCCCTCTGTGGCTGAGTAGCTGCTATTCCAGTTGCCCTGACACGGTGGCTCTGGGCTCCCTCCCTAAGTGGCTGCAGCACCAGTGGCAACGACGCTTTGGCGGCAGCCTCGCCTCCAGCAGCCACTGCCCTGGCTCTGCTTCTGCAAACGCAGCCGCGGGGCGGCCTCTTCCCAGGGGAGATCCCACTGACTGTGCCTGGCAGCACCTGGCGGCTTCCACGTGTGCACGGGATAAGGAATGGCATAAAAACAAAAGGCAGGGTCCTGGAGTCACAGTTCCCCGACAGAAAACCAAATACTCTGCAGCTTCTTTTGCAGGCTACTGCCTGTATTAAATGTTAGGAACCTTCCCTGGTAGTTTTAATGACAGAGGAATTCAAGAAATGGACAGCTTCTCTTAATAACTTCCTAAGGAATTATCCGAGAAGGTAGCGTTCACAGGAAGAACAGGGCTTAGATACACAACAAGACTTTTTGCATACATACAAATGTGTTCCTGCAGATCTGGCAGCAAGAAAGAAAGAAACTAAGATATTCTTAAAAAAAAAAAAAAATCAAGCTTAAACTCCAGGCCTATTACAGTGCCAAAAAATGACTGTTCGAAGGGATCTACAGTTCATATAGCAAATGTAGAGGAAAGCAACTAAGAGTTTCAGCAGGTAAAACTTATCCATTGGTTTTGTTTCTGACTGTTGCAACAACGGGACTTGGGGAGATGTACAGGCTTTACAGAACGTGTCTGAGAGCACAGGTTACTAAGATATTCTTAAAAAAAAAAAAAAATCAAGCTTAAACTCCAGGCCTATTACAGTGCCAAAAAATGACTGTTCGAAGGGATCTACAGTTCATATAGCAAATGTAGAGGAAAGCAACTAAGAGTTTCAGCAGGTAAAACTTATCCATTGGTTTTGTTTCTGACTGTTGCAGCAACGGGACTCGGGGAGATGTACAGGCTTTACAGCATGAACGTGTCTGAGAGCACAGGTTGAGACACAGTGTGGCAGCCTCAAAACAACCCATGACTTCGCTAAAGCTGTCCAAATTCTGTGCACAGACCTTGGTGCACAGAAGGAAACCTCTTACCTCCATTTGCATCTGTAAGTTCTGTTCTCCTCAGGAAGCCCAGATAGCCAGTTCGAGCCCAAATAGTCTGTGTGTCTCCAAAGCTGAGTCTTGAATTAAAATGATCCGATTGCAAAGATTCATCTCCATATATGGTAAAATACCCACTGGCGTTGTGAGTGCTGTGAACCCATATCTAAGTTAAAAGCAATTATACTGGTATTAATTAAAGTAGCATTCCAGAATGAAGCATTATTGAAAATTCTTGATGCAATATTTTCAGTCATAGTAGATAATACTATAAAGCCTTGTGACACTGCTTCTGAAACAGCAGCTGACCCAGTTTCAGGCACAAGTGCTACCCCCGAAGTCAGGGTGCAGGTCAGGGAGCTGCTGCTCGGACGGGGCCGCCGGCTCCAACGCTGGCGCCAGCAGCGGCTCCCGGCCCTGCCTGTGGCCTGGGGCTGCCCTAGGGCTGCAGGGACTCCTCAAACCAGGCCAGCCCCAAGGTTTCCTTCAGTGATGGCCACTGACCACAGCAAAGCCCACAGAGCACCGCACCCTTTGCCCAGTGCCCCGCTCCAGGATCAATGCATCCACCCCAGCAGCTCATCACCAACCAGAGAGATCCCTTCTCCAGCAGCAGGGCTGGGGGGTGTTTACAGCACGAAAATTAGGGTGAAATTATTTCATGGGGGAGTCTGGGGAATGTTCACTGATAGAGAAAGATTCATTTCATCTAATTTAAGGCATCATGGAAACATTTTCCATTTCATAATGATGAAATCCTACAAATAAATCTCACAGATCAGACAGCAATTTTAATTATGACTAAGCAAATTCTTTATTTTGTTATTTAGGTCTTTAATTGCTCACTGAGAATAAACATTTTAAGCTTTTTTTTTCTCTCTTGAAACATAAAATAAATTGGAAAAATAGATAGCCTTGCTCATCTCAGTTAATGAGAATGCTTTTGGGCATTGAAGCACAATGATTATAAAGAGAATAACATTAGAATCCCATCTAGCTGAAATTACACTAATCAATATAGTTACTTTTTCATGTAAGGTTTCATCAGAATTAGTCAAGCATCAACAAAAAATGTACTTGAAAAAAGCAGATTTTAAAAAAAATTTACATAAACTTGAGCTACCATCAGTATTTATTATGTTAACAAAAATATTAATAGTTATATAAATATCTTGTGGTAAGTTTTATACATTCTAGAGATCTCTATTACTTATGTTCTAAAAGTCTACATTACTTATAATTTTATTAACCTGGCATTTAATAATATGTGTTATGGGAAATGTACATACATCAGACATACATGAGAATGGCTTTATGCCATCAATTTAGTTCAGAGCATACAAAGGCAGGTTTTCAGGACTCACCTCACCAAGGTGAGAATCTCCTAAGGGTCCCTTGGTTTCTGGATTAGCAATAATGATACGTACTCCTGGGAGGATCTGTTGGAGGGAAGAAGAAGAGTGAGAAAGCAAATGATATCTCTTTATGCAATTGCATGCTGATTCTTCCTCCTCCCAAACCTTCATAAGGAGCTAGTAGATATCCTTAAAAAGTTGAAATAGGCATATGAAAAATGTACGTAGTCAGCAAATACAACACATCCTGATATATTTGGGAAATGCTGTAGAAGCTCTTTGTAAAAGGTGTTCTATCATTAAAAACTCGTATGTTCATCTACACTACAAAAACCCTATCAAAAGACCTCAGGTCTTTCTAGTAGTAAATAAAATAAATGAGTTACAGAAACCCGTATCCATGTGAATCATTGGTGGGAAACCAAAAGCCAAGAACATCATGAAATCTTTTAAGAAGTTGGCTCTTGCTGGTGACTTCAGGCATTGGCCATACAGTCACTGCAGAGATGGGCAGATGTAAACTCTGGAGTAGAAAAGGGAGCATCCTCTGCCCACTGCTGTTTGCAGAGATGAAATCAGGAAGCTGCAGATGAGTATTCACAGTGTCAAGGGCAGTCACTGTCTTGGTGGCTTGGTGCAGGAGCTGTGGGACCTGCTCATCCCAAAGGCAGAGCACGGTCAGCAGGGACACTCCATCACCAGCCCATGGGCACGTGGATGGAGAGTGGCAGAGCTGAGAGAACCTCCTGGGTTTCTGAGGGCACTGGTCCTCATGATCCACCCCACAAAGATGCTGCCCTCCAAAACATCCCCCCTGCGGGTGGTCAGCACCTATGAGTAGAAGATTGGTGATCTCAGTCCAGTTCTCAATGGAGGAGCATGGATGGAGGCATGGAAAAGGCATAGACAAAACTGCCTTTACTCATGCTGCATTGTTGCTCTTTCCAAGAGCAAGGTGAGGAGGATGAAATGAGTCCTGCATAAGAGAACGAGGCATGGGTAGCTTCTGAGACAGCGCCCATAAATCAGTGTTACTGCCAACGTGCTGTAACCACACCAGGGAAGACGACAGGTCTTCAGTCCGCATGACTGATAAACCCTTCCTGAACACCACCTGAACGCAAATGGAAATCTACAGGAAATATTTGCCATAAAGATGTGCTCAAATCTTCTTTCAGTACTTACTTTTCCTGACTCCATTAGGGGCAAACTATGTGGAGATCCTCTTTCTACTAAACGAACTCTGTAAAACATATGTAAAAAGAATATGCATAATATGTGGTTGCATTTATTTGCTTTTTATTAACATTTATTTCTAAGAGGAAAGGTTAATAGTTGCAGAGCTGAATGTTATTTTTGGAACAGATGAAGCTTATATCCTGTAGAACATAATCAAGCTCTGTATTTAATCTTAGTCAAGACTTATGGCTGGGGAAATAATGAAGAAAAGATGTGTGTGAACATTTTCTTGAATATTAAATTCTTCAAATGTATTTGCTGCCCTTTATTTATTTTTGATAGACTTTGTAAAGTGAAGTCCATGCACAGATTTATTCACAACAAAAGCGATTTTAAAATCCTGATTTCCCACAAGAACATCATAAACACCAGGGGAAAGAAACACAAGCTTGGGAGCTGAGTGAGCAACCACATTCCATGAGTAGCTAATAGTTAAAATCAAAATCCTATCTACAAAACCAGCTTGAAATCTGCATTTGCAGCATTTTAACTATTTTCAGGGGACAGAACTTGATAAACAATTCACTCAGCCAAAAGCTGAAATGAAAAACACCATTACTATTGGTGTGAGACTCCTGCTCGAGGGGAAATTTTTGGTCCTTCCATTTCCCTTGCAAGGTACCCACTCTCCCACTGAAGGAGCAGAAATGGCAGCTCTCCTTCAGGGTCTGGAAGGAATTTCCTCATTCAACTTTTGAAAATAGTCATCTGGCTGGAATGAGAGTGACGAGAGCGTCTATAAGGTCCTAAAAGATCTGATGAGCTCAGCTAACAGTTGCTGAAGAAAACTGACAACACGTAGCTATACGGGTACCCTAAGCAGGACACCTTAAAGGACCTGACAACCCACGCACGCATTAAACTGCCCACTACCAGTGTATTTTCATAACTAACCAGCCTAAACCTGTTCTCCCATCAAAAGCTCTCCTCTTGGCCCATTCCTGTGCATGGAGGAGCTTGCACAAGGCCAACACAGGGCAGCTCTGCAGGCCCCGCTCCCGCAGGGCTCGTCAAACGGCACCGCAAATCACAGGCATTTAAGAGGATGCAAAACATGCTTTAAAAAGTGACTCCACACACACTGAAAATAGTAACTATTGCAAAATCAGTTGTTAGTGTAACTCCTATATTTCTACCTTTTTATATACTTTTATTCTATAAAATTCATATTGGTGTAGAAATAGAAAATGTGTTTAATAGAGCTCTTTGAAACAACTGACCTCTGCGATCTTTGGGCATTCATTTGCAGAGATGCAATCTTCTCTGCAGAGGAACTACTCAGCATCTAGAACACTTGGTATCTCTTTTAAAAGACAGACCCAATTTCCTATTTACAAACGTTTGCCAAATAAATACATTTAATTGTAAAAAAAACCTCAGTTAATGACTAGCGGTAAGAATGATGGTGCAACGGAGCTCAGGAAATACTTAATTTGACTGGGAGATGTGGGTTAAAAATAATTCTGTTTTGCTAATAGTAGCAAATAGCTCCTGGGGCAGCAGAGGGGTACATCAGAGCTGTCCATGTTGTTGGAGATCCCTCTGGCCTTTGCCCCTTTCCCCTTACTCAAACATGCCTCAAGGAAGTGTTGCTAAATTCCAAGCCTAGTAAGAATTATATAAAATATATCAATACTTTAAAAGTTAAAGAAGTGACTACTGGAAATGAATCAACTTTCATGAATGTGACCACCTCTCTTCTCATCAGCATTTGCGCCTCCCACCTCGCCATTATCACCAGCATATTTTTCTAGTTCTTTCCCCCATCTCTTTTCTCAAAATGCATCTGATTTTTGAGCACATGATGATCCAGAAGGTGCAGTTTCTCAGTTTCTGATTCTGTGAAAATTCTTCTCCCACTATGTGTATTCCTCCTTGCTCCCTATAGAATTGCCACCTCAGGATACTAAAAATAGGAAACATTGCATTTCTTTAGGTTTTTTGCCCTGTTAGTGCTCAAACCGGTGGACTCCATTTAAAAGACGTTTCAGGCTGTTCCTGCAAAGCTCACAATACATTTGGGAACATGCTGTTAAACCTCTAGCAATTCTGAAATGACAAAGAAAAGGAAGATATTTTTCCACAAAAAAAGATTTTAAAAAATAGAAGCACAACATCCTGATGTTACCAACTCCTATGTGCATACTTAATTTTAAGTGCCTAATAGCCTTATTAGCCCTACTGGGACTATTTCTGTGAATAAATTGTGGACATTATGCAATAATTTTCAAAATGAATTTTACCGGTGCCTCATCATAAAATAATTCAATTGTTCCCATTGCTCTCCCAAGAGATCTACATTTTTCCACTGACACGGGGAGCAGCCGGGAGTGACGGGAACGTCTCTCCTCTCTCCTTGGGGCGCGCAGCGTCCTCGGCAGGGCCGCGGCGGCGGCGCGGGGCTCTCCAGGGCCGTGAAAATGCAGTGACGCCCGCGGTGCTGGTGAAGAAACCCAGGGCTCCTCGAGCCTTCGTGGGGCCATATTGGTAAACGTGCTCCAGATTCACACTTCCTAAGCAGCTGGAGAGGGCTCCCAGGCTCCGGAGCTGCAGAAAGGACACGTCCTCCCTGCACGCCGCTCGCTGGACACTCGCCCTTGGGACAACTAGGAATTACTGCCCTGCTATAAAGCCAGCATCAATGATGGTATAGACCTGCATAGTCTAATGCAGGGCAAGTCAATTTGTAGAATTTTCTGCACTGATTCCTAACATTTAATCTTGCTTCTTAAAAAAAGTCTCTAGCTGGTGCTGTACAGTTCAGAGAGCTGCCCACACTTCAGGTCTGGTTAAACAGAACTAGCAGGAAACGTTGCTACGACACAACATTCTTGTTGATATTTAATACATTGGATGGATTTCATCTTCTCTAAATCTTACTCTTACCATAGAAACGTAGGCCTCCTTCAGAATAAAATTGGCAAGCTATAACTAGCTGGCACTGTAAGCGCCATACAGCAAAGGGGATATTAAAATACAGTAACGGAGTCTTTCTGCCCAACTATCTTACATGAAGCTGCAAATTTTACTCCGTCTGCTTTCTCTATTTGGTATGTCAGTGATTAAAACACTCCAGAATGTGTCCCACAGGCTGCTGCTATTCTTACCAATTAACAGGTTTGTCAGCAGGGCTATTAAATGCTGATTTGGGAAGCTGAGGGGTCCAGAGTGTGCAGACTTGCACTAATCACTGCCAGGACGCCAAAACGGGGGGGAAAACCCTTCAAACATGACTCTGCAGTTGCACTGAGAAAGACTGTGGGTTTTGTGATTCTAATAGGGATGGAAAGAAGCTAAAATATCAGCCGAGTCTCACTCCCTGCCAAAAAAAGTCTGTTCCCTAGAGCCACTTCCTCGAGCTTTGTCTGCTCTTGTTACCAATATATCGAGTGATGGGACTTTTTCCACTTCCGCCTGAGTTTATTTCTCAGCCAAAAGTATTTCCTAGTCAAGAATCTCTTCGCTGGGAGGTTTGGTATAACTCTTCTCAGCTTTCTCTTGCTATTTTTAATTGATTTGGTATGCACAATTTCAAATAGTTACTCCCCCTTGCTTGGGTTTCTTCTCTTTCTAAAGCTATCCCTGCTAAACAGTTCACCTCTTCCCCTATTTCTTGGCCAGAGAACTTACTGTTCCCTTTCCTCTTTGCCTTGGAGCTGCTCGCAGAGGCTTAGCCCTGCTCCCGCCCTGCTAACCGCGTGGTGCTCCCTGTCTCCCACCTTGGGAGATGCGACCTCCCCATCCGACCTGTTCTCCTACCTCCTCCTAACTCACATCATGTGTTCCCACTGCATGTTGCTTTGCCACCATGCCAGCCTAGCAGTACGGTTCCTTTAATTTATTTGATTTCTTTAATACCAGCTGCTTTCCTTACTGCTTTCCTTAGCATGATGCAGATATAGTCTAGCATATATTGCACATACGCTATACACACATGTATATATGTGTATGTATATACACGTGTATAACATGTATATATGTGTATGTATATACACATGTGTATATATATGCATATATGTATCCACATAGGCATACACACACATAATGTCACTATATGCCTCTTAATTCCCCTCCTTGCCCATAGCCTTTTGGTGGCAGCAGAACAGAGCTGGTGGTCTCTTTAGTTCCATTCCAGCCCTATTTCTGACTTTCTTGCTCACTGTCATCTTACATTAGCAGTAGCCCCTGTGGGGAGAGCCCCTACATTAGCAGTAGCCCCTGTGGGGAGAAAGGGCATCTCTTGTCGTCCTGCAAGAAACCGGTGTTTTGAAAAATGTTGTTTACTAAACTGGAACAGAAAGGTGAAACATGGAAACAAGCTGTGAACTGAATCTGTGAAAAAGGTTGCATGTCAGAAAAAGATGTTATTTATGCTTAGTTTTTCATTTTCTTTAAGTTTATTAACTCTTCAAATTACAAAATATTTTAATCACTAACATAAGCAAAAATACAAAAAGTTAAAATAGGGTTAAAATAGCAGTGCCTGGGCAGGGCTGCTGCTGAGAAAGTGCTGACACAGCTTGTTTGGCTCTTCTGTAGTAACAGCAAAGATGGGAACGGCAGGCAGGCGAGGGGCCCTGGGCTGGGGTCAGGGTCTTTGACACTCAGGACTTTCAGTGCATCTTTCTCTTCAATCAAAATATTTTTACGTACAGCATGTCCACATAAGCGGTTCCAGAATTTACAAGCCAGTGAGCTCATTGTGCCCCAAAGGGAAATAGGAACCAAAGAAGACTGCAAGCTCTGCCTTCCAGGGTGAAACAGCCCAACAAATAGCTGGCTCTGAAAAGGGAGGAAAATGGCAGAGCTGGGCGCTTCTGCCAAAGGGAAAATCCAGATAACAAAGAAGAGTTTCCCTGTATCATGCCGATTTCCTCGGAGCAGTTTACTGCCCATCACAGGACAAATTCAGATAACACACAAAGACAAGGGAGACTGAAAAAAGCACTTCTGGTATACAGGCAACCTTCAGTCAACAAAATGAACAACCCTTAAATCTTCTTT